GAGCTTAAAAGTTTAACCATGCCAGGACATCTCTCGGTCCTTGCTTGTTCTCTTTCCAAGTTGCCCTTATGGAGGCAGTGAGAATTCTCACCAGGGGAAAAAAAATTCCATATTTGTTTTATAACCCATAACATCAACCTCTGTATTGCCTCCCAAGGTTCTTGTTTTGAATCATCAGGTTTATCAAGTTGTCAGCTGTCGTTGCCAACAGCCACATCCAGCAGCAAATGTCTCCTACTGAGGCTGATGCCCTACAACAGTCTGCTACATGGCTGACCCCTTCAGGGTTCAATCCTCAATACAGTCCTTGCTGGAGCAGCAGTTTTTTGGTAAACATGGAACAACCACCCATTGCAATGCACCTCCCAACACACCAGTGAACATCTTACACGTTAACAGGTATTTGGTTATTTAAAAAAGACTTTTTTTCCACAGCACCTTGGTGCCAGGGAATAGCAAGAGCAGACCTAACCACTAAGAAAGTTCATGAGGATTTCTAAGGCTGAGACACCCTAGAAGGGCCATGACTCTTTGGATCTTGTATAGTCCTGGACTCCCAAGGCCCTTGCACAGCCAGTCACTGCACTTAAATGCAGCAAAACTCTAAACAGAGCAAGAAATAAAGTAATAGGAAGCACTGGGACCATGACAGCCTCACCTATAGATATATTTTAAAGGCACTGGGTGTAGATCTACCTAAGAGCCTGCCTTCAGCACACACTTAATTTGCTAGAATTTTTCCAGTTTTGTTACCTCTGGCATTTTGATTTTATATTTGGGAAGGGAAATGGTGAAGAAGACATTTCAGCAGAAATATGATATGGAGAACAAATCTTGGCACAAAATCATAGCCACTAATAAAAACACTCCCCAGGTAGCTTGCTCATAGTCTGTACATTGAATCTGCAGGCTGTAATCTAACATCACAGCTGTAACCACCAGAGACACAAACACATAAAAATCTCTTCAACTGATAACCCTTGTTACAGGACACCTGATTCTCTACTTTCTAATGAAGTCTTGTCAAGAATGATTTTCATTCTGCACATACTGTGAACCCTATTACAAATCAAATGTCCAGGCAGTCCTACTTTGCTCTTGAGAATTAGCAGTGACTTTTGGAGGGAATTATGGCCATCATCAAATAATTCCTCTATAACTCCAGTAAATTCAAAGCAGTTTTTCAGCACTTCCCTTAGCATCAGCAGAAAGTTACACCTCGTGCATTTCATTAGGTCTCTTGTAAAAACTGTCTAATTCTGTGTGATAGCAGCAGAGCTTGCAGATATCAGCTCATAAGAAAACAGCTCTGAGAAGGACATCAAGAAATTACTTACTCCATCTCCACCACTTAGACAGTCTCACAGAGACCCGGGTCATTATTAGAAGGTGTTTGGCTAACTTGCTCTTCTTTCTGAAGAAGCAGCCTGTCTCCCACAGTAGCCTGCCCAACAGTTTGTTTCTCCTGTTAGAAAGGTTCTCCCTACTGTTGAATTTTAATTTTCTGAAATTTATTCACCTGGTTCTAATCTTACCTGCTATGGCCACAATGAAATCATTACTCTCCTGAATTTTCAAGAGTTTTTGAAATAGCTAGACATAGCTGAGAGAAAAATATCTTAACCACACCCCCATGTCCCACAGCTTCAAGGGACCCTAATTAATCCAATCTTCCCATGGTGGCTAAACTTCCTAGACAATACTTGTTCTCTGCCCCCAGCAGCCCCACAGTCAGAGCACTGGTTTCCAGTCACAGACTTGAACAAAGCATGGCCAGTAGCTTAGAAGGACACCATATGTCTCCCACGTGTACTCTTGTTTACACACTCTGTTGTTTGCCTTTTTGCACAGCAGTTCTTGACTCTCACTGGTTGCTCACAGCAGCGTGTTCTGTTCCTGAACATCCCTCACAGAGCCATCCATCCACGCTGCACTGCATGGGACATGGAGCAAGAGGTCTGTGTTCAGGCAAAGAAAATGCAACTTCAATGCATGTAGGAATGTTTTGTGACCTTTGAAACAAGATGTCAGCTTGGAGAGTCACTTTTGCCACCCCTAGCAGAGAATACTGATCTATACATTGATCTAGCACCAACAGGCCAACGTTAATTGCGATAAAGTTTGCTCCTTCTCCTGTTCTTGCTTTCCTTCTTCCACACAGCCAGCTTCCTCATGTCTTTCAGACTCACATCCCATTGCCAAAGGTATGTTTTGGCCAGAGACCAGGCACAGAGGCTGGCCACCTCCACAGGTGGGACACAGCCACTCTCGTGCTTGGGCATTGGAGTAAGACTGTGCAAAGAAGTGCTCTCTGCCAGGCTGTTCCTGCTCCAGGCAGCCGCCTTTGTTCTGCCCCTCTCCTTGTCACCTCCTGCCTGCCGCTGCCCAGTTCTGCTTGCAGTTCACATAACTTGTTTTCAATCACCTCCTAGGAAAACGGCTATGTTCAAACCTCCTGCAAGCCAGATGTGCCCCACTGGTTGCCAGGTGAAATGTGCTAATCTAGAGGGACTTGAAGTATAGGATTGCATTAGAGAGTGTTCCTGCATATGACTTAGTGCAGCATTATCCCAGCCTTACAAAAGCAGAAGAATAAAGTCATTATGAATGAGTGGAAAAAGAATGAAACCAGAGAAGCAGCTGAGGCAGAGCTGTGTTGATCACACCAGGCTTTGTTTTCTGTATAATGTGGAGTCTCATACTCCTTTGGTGAGAGGTACCACTTTGAGACCACATGCTGTGCTTCCTCACAAAGAATTCACACTTTTTTTTTTTTGCTTCTCCTGTATCCTGTAATAAAAGTCTTTTAGACTGTGGTTGGTCTCTGTGTATTGGCAAAATGGTGGATGGAGTTGAGAAAGGAACCAGGAAAGCTGTAGCATTCAATCTTAAGCGAAGCGAGCAGAATATGTAGCAATGGCAAAATCACTCCTTAAAACTGTCTCAGTAAAGCTTCATGTTGTTGAACAGCAAAAGCATTTGTGTTTTTATTATTCTAAGATTCAACTAAAATCAGGAACAGAAAAACAAGAGACCTAAACTCATGTGAATAACTGATCAAGGACAATGATCATCCACACAAACAAGACACATTTACCATATTGACACTCATCTAACATCCAGCCACCTCATCTTTAAATAATCACTAGGGGAATGATGCATAGTTCATTCCTGAAATCAAAATGTGAACTAAGGGAAAAATCACATGGCACCTTGCTGATACATGCTCTTGTATTGAACTTAGAATACAATGTACAGAGAGATCTCTGGCTTAATTAGCTGCCCACTGAGCTAGAGTTGGCTTCTATCTTTTTTCTGCATATGAAACCACAGAGCTTTCTTAGTACATTATTTCCACATGTGTTTATGTTGCTATCCTTGCCCCATGATCCAACATTTTAACTGAGCATTCCTGTCTTTAAAAAAAAAACAAACAAAAAAGTCTATCCACTTACCTAAAGTATTCCTCAGTCCTCCCTTTCCATCAGTGTGAGCCAGAAGAATCCCCAGGAAAATCCACACAGTCTCCGTGTCAGCTGTTGAGAGTCAGATCAAGACACTCTTCTTTATGTCATTTTATTCCCCTTTATTAGGGATATGATTTCTCATTCTTTGCTTCAGGCACATTAAAACCCTCACTTACCTAGGTAGCCATGCCTAAGGTGGTGGCTGGTTTCAAGACATGAACACCCAGCTAGGGCTGGACAGGCACACACACAGAGCAGGGAACTGCGGCCTGAGCCCCAGAGCCACCAACAAGCACATCCTCGGCACGGGCTCACGGCTCTTTTAAAGGTGTCCTGGGCAGGAGAAGGATGAATCACCACTTACACACCACTTAAACACACTACAGACACTTCTTGTGCAGGAAGGGATGGTATGTCTGCACAAATATTTACACTTAACCTCTGATTGCTTCTACACTTCACCTAGAAGCCTGCTCCAAAACCACTTTTCTAGAGACCGGTCTATCATCAGAATGTCTCATGTTCCAAATTTGCTTTATTTAGGACTATTATCAATATTGAAACAAAAAAAAAAAAAAGAGAGAAAGCCTTACTAAATTCTATCCACTGTTCTTCCTCATGCACACAGCCAATCCTCTTACCACAGAATGCTATTAGGTTGGTTAAAGATTATTTCAGCTTCATAAATCTGTGCTGACAAGTCCCAAGTGTTTTCTATTCATCCTGGGTTTGAGTTGATAGCTACTTCTCCATGAGAGCAAAGGAGATTTTAGTCTTGACAGGTCACAAAGGCTCTGAAAGAAAGGGTAGGTCTGTGACACATGAGCACAGAAATGGCTACTGAACTTACAGGAGAGATGGTGAGGGGTCAGGGCAAAAGAGATAAGTGAGGCTCAGCAGATCCTGACCTCAGAGTTGAAATGGGCCAGGAAGCTCTTTCAAGGGCAGGCATGAGGAATAGCAAGAGAATTATGAGGAAAATTAGGAAAAGACAGTGTCATGGAGACCAAACTTCTGAACCACAAAAAATGGCAGTTAAAATAGCAGGTCACCAAAAAAAAAATTTTGCATATCAATTCAATTATGTTTGTATAATATACTTTGGCATAAAAATTTCTTGGTGCTCTTTTACTTCCACTTCAGCAATTAGCTCTGTATCTGGATGATTTTCTCCTTTTCATACAACAGTACAGTTCCAGATGTTCTCCATGACCACAAGGGGCCTACCTAAACTGAGCACATTACGTAAGACTATTTATGCTACCTCTGCTACAGACACCAGCAAACTTTGCAATAACTTCACGCTGAACAAAATAGTAGACTTTTAAATTGAGGTGACTGTTTACAGCCTGACCAGAGAATCCACTGCTGTAATACTTTTAATACTCTTTTATTTATGTTATTAAATTCTGAGCTTTAAAACACAGATGAGGAAACCCCTAAAAAGTGCTGAGGATGGGTAGTGGTCAGCAATGTACAGAAACTGTGATCTACTACAAGTACCTGTATTCTTAAACAAGCAAACATTAGACATGTATTATTAAAAGTCATCTTTAATAGCATTTAAAAATAGCTATTGCAAACTTTATTTGAAGAAAAATAAACTAATGACAATCTTCCAAGGTCCTTTGAAACAGTCTAGTTCCTTAACATTTGCTTTATTACTTGAAAAGAGAGAAGCTATTTGCATAGTTGGCATGTTAGTTCACCTCTGTTTGCTCAAAACAGCCCATAAAAGCATTATTTTTCTGCGATATCTGATTTGATCAAAAGTGAAAATGTAAATGATGATCCTAACATAGATCCAGTTGGGTAAATGAATATGTCACAAAGCAGTCAAGAATTTTAGTTCGAATTGTTTAAGGACTGATATGGAAAAAGAAGAGATGTGCCAGTCAGTAGGACATTATACCTGCTTATATACTTCCACTGAGCAAGCATATTTTTATTTTCTTCTTTGTATTTAGTATCCCATACAATCTAACAAAACAAAAAAACACAAAAAAAAACCCCTGTTCATAATATAACATTATAAGATATGAGCAATGCTGATGAAGTTTTTTGGGTAGCTACTAAGAAATGCAATTAATCATTTGAATTTAAAGATAAATCTTATACTGGAGTACTGGTGACTCAAATGCAGCACATAAGGAATTAATGTTCATACCTATCTGAAAATAAGCTATCTATAGGAAAAGTAATCATTAGATTAATCTAATATAGCACACTATCAGCTTTTATTGCTTAGAATAGCAATAAAGCAATGGCCTTTCCATTTGACACACAGAAATACATTAAAATGAATAAAAAACAATGCGGAAGTGAAATATTTTGATATGGTGAAAAGGAAACAACTGCTGTTATGTTTTATAAATTAATTAAGCACCTAATTTCAAAATCTTCAGATCACATAGAGATAGTTCACTGCATAAGGGACTTATAGTAGAAGAAGAAATGTTATAACAAAAATATAATGAAACATTAGAGTTAAAATTGAATCCTCTTTCTTAGTGCTTCAGACAGAAAAATTATGCCATTAGGCACTAGTTGCTTTCTAATATATTCTTTCCTAGAAACAGAACACTACACAGCATTGTTTGTTTGGGCACTTTGTGACGATCTTGTGTTTATGCACACACATTGCACATTGCAGAACACTGCAGCCTGTAACAGCTCAGTGCATGCAAAAGCTTTCTGCAGGACTCAGCTAAAATCAAATACTGTCAATATTCATACCAACTTGAACAACGTATTCAGAGAAATATTGCTAGGATAATATTTTGAAAACCAAAAATTGATGTTTGCATCTTAGGCCTGTCATATAAGAAGGACATGGAAGTGTTGGAGCAAGTTCAGAGGAAGGCCATGAAGCTGATAAGAGGACTGAAGCACTTCCCCTGTGAAGACAGGCTGGGAAAGTTGGGACTGTTCGCCTGGAGAAGAGAAAGTTGTGTGGAGACCTCACAGCAACCTTCTGGAGGGGGCCTGCAGGGAAGCCTGAGAGGGACTCTGTCAGGAGCGGTACTAACAGGGCAAGGAGTAATGAGTTCCAACTGAAAGAAGGGAAACTTAGAATAGATATTCAGGAGTTTTTTACTGTGAGGTTAATGAGACACCAGAACAGGTTGCCCAGTGGGGTTGTGAATGCCCCTACCCTGGCAGCGTTCAAGGCCAGGCTGGGCGAGGTATTGAGAAACCTGATCTAGTGGGAGGTGTCCCTGTCTATGGCAAGGGAGGCTGGGACAAAATGATCTGTAAGGTCCATTCCAACCCCTTCACCTTCTATGATTCTGTGAACACTGGATATGGCTCTCATGTTTCTCCTGCACCCGTCTGGCCACCTCTCCCTTTTAGCATGTGCCACTGATGTGCACAAACCACAAGCTCCTGCTTGTGAAGTGAACAGGAGCACATGATATGGAAGCTAACTGGGAATATCTGCACTGCTTGTGTTTGATACCAGTTGTGCCAGGGGATGTTTAGCTTGAATATTGGGAAAAATTTCTTCACTGTTAAGCATCAGAACAGGCTGCCAATGGAAGCAGTGGTGCCACCATCCCTGGGGCTATTTACAAAGAGTTCAGGCGTGGCACTTGCAGACACGGTCTAGTGATGGACTTGGCAAAGCTGGCTTAATGGTTGGACCCAATGATTTTAAAGGTCTTTTCCAACATAAACAATTCTATGGAGCTGCCATGCTGGGAACCAAACATTCTGTACAGCAGAATTTAGTATAGAAGATCTCTAAATGACTCCCACATTGAAACCTTTAGAGAAACCCTCAGCTAAGGTGATGGATGATAGCAGAGGCAGAATTTGGGGAGAACACCGTTAAAATGCATTACAGTTTTGTTTTAGACTCAATCCTAAATAAATATTTCTTACTGATTCAATAGCATATTAAGGCCTCTAGACAGACCATGCCCATTCACACCCTGTGGGTGAAAAGAGCATGGGAAGTACCAGCACACATTCAGATTTCAATGAACAGCAGAAATGTTCACACAATACAACATTAAGACTCCATCACAAAATAGCTTTTCATGAATGCTTTTAGCATCACTCCTTAAAGCTCCTTATAGACCGTATTGCTAAAGAGATCCAAAAGAATTTTTGCTACAAGATTTCCTACCAATTTCAGTGGGAACACGACACCCCTAACATCCAAAATGGATATTATACAGCAATGGGGATAATATATATGCTGAGCATTAGTGTAAAGGTTCCCACACAACAATGAGGAAAACAAAAAAAGTCATTATGCTGAGCAATATTGCATTTCTGCTGTTCCATTCACTGCCCACAAAGTACAAATTTTATCCTCTGCAATTCATTCAAAGCACCAGCCACTACTGCAAAGTGACTGAAGGCACTGATGCAGAAATGTTAAAGGCCACCTGGTGTAAGCATTTGTTTAAAGTCATACAACGTACATGGTTCCTTTAAAATAGCTTGATACAGATGCAGATTTGGATGCCTACAATAATATGCCTGCTGTATAAAATAAAGTAAAATAAAAGAGGATGTTTATTCACTGACTCCAACAATTTCCCTGACATGGTGCATTATGACTGATGATTCTTAATATAGTGTGCAAAGCAGCCAAAAGTAATTTAAAAACATGTGTTGTTTGTCTCAGAAACAAATGTAAGGGAATACTAGTAAAAGCTGTGCTGTCCAAAACTCAACTAAGCAGTTTAAATCCGTTTTTCTTGGAGGATTTTCAGGAAGATTGGACTGCATGCAAAACAGAACTAATTTATTCCTATTATCTACTGCAAAAGAGCAATTTATCTCCAGTACATCTTGTCTAGAAAATAAGACCCTTTATCCTATCATTAATCAGGTACCAATGTCCCTATTAGAAACCCTATGTATAGAAAAAACCTGGAAGCATGTGAGCTTTGGGTTTTTGAAATTATATTAAAGGAAGGCAAATGACATGTCAAGTCTGCTGTTCTCAAAGAAAGAGAAGACCAACTTTCATAGGTCATAAGAAAATCAAACCCACAGCAAAACACATCCCAGCTTAGATGAAACATTTTTCCAGCTCTTAACTTGGCACAGTTCAATTTAGGCTCCCATAAATGAATAAAGGTTTTTGAGATGCAGAGATGTGTTTAAGTCTGTATCTTTGTTTCTCTTAGCATTGGACCCATGTAACCAAGTGAATGGCTTACATAGGGCGAGATTCTGCACCCTACTGACTAAGCAGTGTTTTTGGCTTCAATAAATACATTACTTCATGTAGGTCAGAGCAGCACAACACTGATCAGGCACTAATTAACTACTCAAAAGGCTAAATCCAAAACACACCAAGGGCAAGTGAGAAGCATGAATGACTATGAAAAACCAGGCCTAAGCTCTGCCTGAGAAACAGGACAGAACTTCAAATTTGTGAAAAACATTGTCAATTCCAAAAACAGGTGAAGTAAGACAAATAACCCCATCTAAACTAGTTCTGCAGTTAAAACCTATACATTTGTATTAGAAGGCATCCCCAGTTCAGGAAGTTCAGGCTTTTTCCCATGCTACTATGCAAAATTTCTTCCGTGAACAACATTATAGATGAGCATAAATACAAAAATATACATTTTAAGCAGTAGCAAAAATTGAATAAAAATTAGAAATTGCCCAAGGAAAGTGACTACTATATTATTACATGTGCACAAAAAACACATTTAGTCTCTAAAAGGTGTGAAAGAAAAGGAATCAATAGAAATTATAATTTCCACCTTAGTCAGCATTACAGCTAATAACTTCATTTTAGTAAGTATGAGTGTAACAGCTTGGCTGCCTCATCAAAAAGAATTAAGCATTAGATGTTACAGGTAGTGCACAAGAAGGACAGATTGGTTGCCAGACAAGGAAGGCATTCATACATTCACCCAGGAGCAACAAGCTCCCAAGCTCACACATTTCCACACTCACAGAGACCTGGAATTCTCCCCATGTGCAAAGAGCAGGTTTGGGTGTAAAAGTGCCTGCTACTTTTCAGCATTGCCCTCCTCCATTCCACTTCAGCAGAGCCCTTGAACATACAAGGATGTGGTTGAAGTTAAGCAAGCATGTGGATTGTTTGGCTGGACTGAACACATATGCAGCCCATGCCTCCTAAAGCCACCACCAGAAACAGGGGGCACAGGTGGCATCCAGGGCCACCAACTCACATGGTACTGAGAGCAGTAAACAACTGTTTGGGGTTATGCCTCCTGAACTGTTGACAAGACACTGAAAGCGCAAGACATAAATGATGCCCCAGAGTGACGTTTCTAGGAGACACCAAAAAACCAGAACAGGTTCAAAGCAAACTTCCTTCATCTGGCCATAAATATATGCCAATTGACACCAGCATTCTCACACAGAAAGAGAATTGCATTTGTTTCTGAATAACCCTGGAAAAATTAAGTCTGAAAAACAAACTTTATCTTTGATGTGTTTACAGTAAAAAGCCTTTCAGACTAAAATGCATGAGAACATCCTGAGGCCTTATTTTCAAGCATGATTAGCTTATGAATTGACAAAAAAGTCTGCCTACCTTCTCTGAAAAGACTAAAAAAAAAAAGAAGACTGACAGCTTTCTGGAGCATTCAGCAGTTTGTAAATGCAGTACTTTTTGGCTCTTAGATCTGCTCTGAAGCCAGCTCCTTCTTTTTTTTTTTTCATAGTATTCCCCATGAGAGCACACAGAGAAATTCAGTATTAATGTGGAGTGTCTCATCTTCAGAACAGAACAAAGTGAGCTCTGATACCAAGCTCCTATCATTGCCCATCAACTCCCTAATGGAGAAGCACAGTGTTTTGGAAAAGCATGGTAAAACATGCATCTCTAAAAAAAAAAGCACAGTTGGAAGCTGGGGTAATAACAAAGTGGGAATATGGAACTAAGTTTACTTTTCATCATACTGCTTTGTCAGTAACTCCGTGCTTCTTCAGAATATAAATTCAGTATGAAACTAACACTTGGAAAGCTTTTCCAGCAGACACTTGCAGAAGTTTTCTGGCACAGCCAGAAAATTTACCATATGGGCCAGCCCAGTTCTCCCTGAACACAGCAGGAGTTTGGTCATGGTAATCACTAAAGACGGGCTGGTATCTGAACATAAAATTTTCTTTGGATAATTAATGGAAACCTTAGATGTGAAACATAATCTTTTACAGCACCCAACTGCACAGCAAGTTTACATGGATGACAAAGAGTACACAGAACAAGGAGGCCAATGAAGAGTGCTGAAGCAAGGCTGCAGAACCGTCTCGGTGGCAAAGGTTGCAATCACTTTCACAGAAGTCACAAGAGGTTACACTTTGCATTACTTCTGAGTTATAGCTTCTCACTGCTCTTCTCCCTGTTCAGAAAGGTTAGTTAACATTAGTCAATGGACTTCTGAAAATTAACCAAGAATACAGCTTCAAAAAGAAATCATTTTTAAAGGATGCACTAAACTCTGACACAGACTCTGACATCATACACGGCAAAACACTTCCCAGAGCTGGTATTTAAGCCCAGCCATTACTCATTTTTCTTCACCCAGAACACCTCAATGTATTCAGGCCAATGCCTGGTGAAAGGCACACTTTCATAGAATCAATCTCAACTGTTCACAAACCTTGGACAAACATTTTGAAAGGAATTTTGCCCCTACCTACACAACAAAGGAACTCAGATGCTTTACCTGACAAGTTGCTGGCTTTAACATTTAAGAGCAAGATCTCTCCTAACTGATGCTTTCTCTCACTATCATGTGTGGGAGCTTCAGCTTCCTGAATCTGGGACTGCTTACCTCACCTAGGTCCTGCTCTTGTATTTTACTCTCCCTTTCCCTGAAGGGCTGCTACAGAGCCAGACTAGAAGTCTGAAAAATCATATTCATTTCAGAAACATTAATGTATGGTAATTGCTCACAGAACAAGCTTTTGCAAAGTTTCTTCCTCTCAGCAGCTTTTTTCCTTCTTTTTCTTTCCAACTAGAGACTTTGCAACTTCTTTTTTTAATAGTAGCATTTTTAAACTGAAATTATATTCATTTTCATTACAAGCCTCAGGGTATTAAAAAAATATAATTTTATGGGACAAAATGTTTACCAAACAGCAACACCCAGCTAGTTATAAAAAGTCAGGTAAGAGAATACTGCTGTACTGGCATCCAAGCCAGCTCTTACATCTATGCCAGTTGTACTATCTTTTACAACAAAATCTTATTTATCAGTAAGTGCCAGAGGAGGAGATCTCTAGGCATTTCCTAGCTCTGAATACAACATGAATCTATCATCATCACATAAAATATATCCCTGCAGGTCGGGTCACCAACTACAACAGTGGTGGAAAATAATAAACTAAAATCAAATTGCATTCCTGTATTAGACAGGAAGGAGCTCTCCCAGCAGAACTCAACCATGGCACATGTATGTATGTTGACCAATAATATATCTATGCTATATAGTAACAGGAATGGTGTCCTGTAAAATAATATTTGCACAAGTAATTTTCTTGAAATTAAAGTAATTACACCACTGATTGCATCATATAAATTTTGGTCCTTAATATTAGTTTGGTAACTGAGAATTTATGGACTAAATTAATTTAAGTGTAATAAAAATATTTACATGGGTGCATTTACCTGTGACTTTACAACAAACATATTTATTAGGCTATCTAATAGCATTCTTATAAAAGATTCAGTCCTGAGTGCTTATGCCAGGAACTGAAAATTCATTTCAGCCATTCATTCTAAGTCTCATGTGTTTCTGTCAAATAAAATCTTGCTGTAATTTTTAAGCCACTAGCCCTTAAAACATGCTTTAATTAATAGGCTTACAATTAATAGTGTACTTACAACTGGTAATTTCCTATTTTATTTTTAAATTCTGTGAATGAACAAGAATTTCAGCCTATATAGAATAAATGTGATCTTCATCTAGCTGAAGTAGCACACATCATATTTGGCTGTCTTTTGTACTGTGCTAAAAAACATGAAAATTGCCAATACAACTTTTTTATGCCTTATCTCAAACCAAGACCAAATCCTTAATAATGTACCAGGTGGTTCAAGTAATGAAAACCTAGTATCTTCTTCATCAGCCTGTAATTTTTTTCTTGCTTTTAATTTTGCCAAAGACCTTTGTACATTGTTGCCTATCTCTAAAACACACCCTACAAAAAACATACTATGTAATACATATAATACATTCATACACAATAATAAACAGACAAAAACCAAACAAAAAGCCCCTAAAAAACCACAAATGAACAAGAAAACCAACCAAAACCCTTCTCCCCCCCCAAAAAAAAACCTTTGAAACTACTTTTCCAATGTTTACCTTTTTTAGGTAACAACAGAAGTCAAAACATTAGCATTTTCTCCCATGAAAGAATCTTAGTTTACGTAAGAAACAGATGGCGAAGCTACTCCAGAAGTAACTATTAACTTGGTAAGTGAATCACAGTGAAGCTCCTGCTTCATTTTAATAGTTTTGGGAACATATTGGGCCAGACAATTTGCAACAGTTGAGGAACCAACCCATTAGGACAATAGATATGTGCAAACACTACTAATTGTTCACAAATTGGACACGTAAATGTCCAAAAAGACTACAGTTCAATGAAGCTTTTTCTTCACTAAAATTTCTCCTATTCCTATAAAAAGAAACTTTCTTTTAAACTTCTGAATAATTACATACCATTTGAAATAAATGACACTTACTAGGTTCATAGTAATCCACTACAGTCACTGAAGCATCTTGGATATTTGCCACCTTGAAGTCTCTCGTAGCCGGAATATCCACACAAACCTGTGTTCCATTAAGCTAGAAAAACAAGAGAAACATCCTGAGAACCCTGGGGATGGTGCCTTCATGGAAGAGGCAAGGACTTTTAGCTCAGTGGTAGTCCATTTCTAAAGGCTTAAGGCAGGATGCATGTAAGGATAATTATCTCATTTGCAGTCATTTTGGTCAAATTACGGACTTCTTGAAATGTCTGCCCTCTTACGTGTGATTTTTAAGAAGCCTAATTTAGAAACCTCTTACAAATACAATTGAGTTGCACCTATCCAATCAGTCTCACTAAAAAACAGAACTATTAATTCCATGTAAATAGCAGATGTTGATTCCCCCAAAGAATACAATCATAATGTCTTTCCAAATTTAAGCCTAACAATGTCAGAGTCAAGATTAACATCACCACAAACTCATTTCTTTGTTATTTCCAACTTACAGAGTCTAAGTATAGGTTGACTTTTCCATTGTCTTTTTCCATCTTCTTAACTGTATTGTCTAATGGAACAAAATCTGGTGACACAGAGAAACCACTGAGTAAGCCAACCTCCATGAGGACCATACCACTACTGGGAGCTGTGCCAGAACCAAAGTACCTTTTCAAAACACAGAGACAAAGGAACTTTTAATAGAAATACAGTAGCCCACTCCCCAAAAAAAGTTTGATCTTTAAGTCCCAACTAATGAAGTAATAATGATTAAAATACTTAGGAAACAAATGGAACAAAATACTGACAAAAAATTTCCAATTATAAAGAGCTAAAAATCAACTTCTCAATTATTTTTCTTGCTAATTTTAACCACATATACAAAAGCTGGGTTAGCACTGAGAAAACTGCAATACAAATATCACATGAGACATCGACACCACGTGGAACTTTCAACTGGCATCTGTAAGCACAGGTTTGCATTACAAATATGCAGAAACTATTGCAATTAAACACATTTCAAAAGAAGCACTTAAGAAACTGCTGTGGGAAGTCTTTTACTGAAATATATGCATTTCCTCTTATGGATGCATTGTTTTGCTTCTATTGATTTTGGAGGCCAAGATACTTTGGTGTGTACACCAAAGTCTCCCAGACCTTTTCATATTTCCTTCACAGAGACTGATGGTTCCATTTACAAAGTTTTCTAAAAGTTTCAGTTTTAGAATGCATAGCCATGTTATTAATCCACATTTGGGAAAAGATTCAAGAAGTTGAGTCTCTTTTTTTTTCCTAAATAATTACATTATATATATATATATATACATAATTATATATTATTGTATCTTCTTCCAATGTGAAAACCAGACGCTGGAGTAAAAGTTTGCTCTGTGAAGAAAGCCTTGCACACTATGGTGCATAACAGACGTATCAAAATATATTTATGGTGCTCTGTGCTACAAGTGTCACCTAAATGATCTGCAAAAGATTCTACTGCTTTAAATAAAGCAGGTAGCAGAAGAGTTTCCCCAGCCTTAGCTGGGGAAAGGTAAATTATTACTGTTCCACTAAAATAGAAGGGTCTCCAATCCTCATTTCGAAAGCCTGGCAGTATTGAAAGTAATTAAATTATTTCTTTGTAGAGCTGGGTAGTTAAAAAAACAAAAGAAAGGGAAGAGTTGCTTTCAAAGCAATGCTGTTAAGCCTGGCTGATTCAAGGCAGATACAACTTTGAAAGAAATACAGCACAACCGCTGACTTCAGTTGGCTCACAAGATTAGAAACAAATGAAACCATCTGTTCAATGATGTGCTGTGCCAAAGTAGCTGCTATTGAAAACAAATAACTGAATTGGAACTGGATGTAATTATTTCTGCATAATTACCAATAAGAGGAGAGGAAAATACCCAAGCTGTCTAGCCAGCCTGGGGTGCTACTAAAACACCAACAGGGAACCAAACTATCTTGGTACTGTCAAGGGGTGAATTAGATATATCCCTAGAATTTATGAGGATCTGACTCTCAAAAAAGGATGAGAGGCAGCCTTGGGGGTGGGCTGTGGTGCCATCTCTTCAATTCCATGGTCTCTTAAAAAAAGGGGAAAAAAAATCATCATGCAAGAATGATCAGTAAGAGAAAGACAGACTTTAAACTTGTACCTGAAGAAAACTGATAATATTTTCAGTTGAACTTTATGTTTCAGCTCTTCAGCAATATGAGATCAGGGTGAGACCCTCTCACAGATGATACAAAGAAGAGAAAATCAAACCAAGCTAGTGTAGGCAGAAAGCAGAAGTGAGAGAGTAAATAGAACCATCAGTGATCATTTTCCCATGTCTGGAAAAGGAATGCAGGCAATAAGACTTAGGAAAAATGAGCAGTCCTGGGTATTTGCCTCCCAGAGAGTGAGTTAGCTCCTCTAACCAAGAACCACTTCAATGTGAATTAGACATCACCTGCTCTAGTGTCATAAAAAATTCCCAGCTAAGATGATCATAGCCAACCACTATCAAGCTGGCTGAGAGAAGGTGGATATTCTCCAGATTAAAGAAAAGAAAAAACTGGTGAAGCTGAAGCCTTCAGTACCTAACTATGTATATCCTCAGCTAGATGCATACCCAGAGCTAGGCTATACATACCCACCCATGGAGATTTCAGCAGTCTTGCTGTATTTGCTTCTCTACTAGAAAGCTGCATCATGCTATAAAGATCATAAATCAGCCAACTTTAAACTGATGTAGGAATATAGATAAGGCATAAATAATACACAATTTATAGGGAAAAGGAGAAGACGACAACTCCAGCACAGCAAAGATGAAGCTGTAGCCTAAGAAATTTAGACAGACTTACTCAAAGTACCAGTCCACTTTCCACAATAAGAGTTGATGGAACTGAAGTTAGAACTAACTAAATATTCCAAGCAGTCACTTGAGAATACTTTTCAATGTCACTAGATTTGCCTCTATTCTTTGAACACTTTTCAATTAAAGCGTCACTACCCTAGAGGGTTCCCAGAGAGATGGAACACTTCTTTGTATTTTAAGCGAAAGGTCTTTAGAGCTAGAGAGTCAGATTGCCCAGAAAAGACTTACCCCAAACCCAGCCCTTTACATGTCAGGAGTTTGTGCTAGACTTCAGAATGTTGTTGACACTTATAGAAGAGTTTAAAAGAGAACAAGCCCCTTCTGTTTCAAGAGCTCTCATGTATTCTAGCATCTCTGCCCACCATCTGTGTCACTGAACTGGATACTAGAAACATATAAAAACAGAGCTCTGGCTTTATGCCTGCTGACTATTTCCCAAATTAAATCAATCCTCTGTACTGAAATCATATTCTCTATAGCTGATTATTTGTATGATGGTGTCACCTAGAGGCTCCATCTCCAGTCACAGCTCCCTTGTGGTAGGCAGAACATAAGAATAGTTCTAGGCAAACGGTGTACAAAGTTTAAATAAATAGAAGGTGTGGATGAAAGACATGTAAGAGTAATTATGGTGGATCAGGTGATACTTTTCAAATCTTGCATTTACAAGGAATGTAACAAAATGTTACATATATAATATGTATAATGTGACAAGAAGGAAACTGCTTCTAGAGGAAGTATTCACAAACAGATGAAATCCTTAAATACAACAAATGCAGTTATCTCAACAACATCCTTGTTGGTAACAAAAGATAGAAGAGAAAAAACATAAATATAGAGAGAGATATATGTCCTATATGGTTTCAGGTGAAATATGCAGTGGTCTTTAACTGCAATAGTAAATACATTCTGAAGAAACTGACAGAAAACAAACATACCCTTTAAATATGTGTATGAACACTTCCACAGCAAGCAAAATGGAGGCACAAAGCAGTCAAAGAACTAACTTGATTGACTGGCAGACCTAGGAATATACAGTTCAATGTTACCTATTCTCATGTGATGCAAATTCTATCCAGGTAACACCAGGTGGCTGTTCTGTGGTCCCTGAGATGATACTTGAGCAGTCTCAGCTCAGCTCTAAGTAGTTGATTACTGAACAAGAAACATCACCCCAGATGCACACATTCTCCTATATCCTCCTGCCCCATCCCCCTTTTTCAGCAAAAAGAACAGAATTAGCCTGGGCGGAAAACTTACCACCTCTTTCAAACATAGAATAATGTATTGTATTCTATTACCAAGTTCTTAACTACTGGTGAATGAAAGACCACAAAGATAGTTGCACAATAGGGCAATGTCAATTTATCATTAAGTAAATATGGATTTTGATTCCTGACAAAATTGTTCTGAGTGAAGTTAATTATAGAGACAAAGAATGACTACTTCATGGTGTTTTCAGCACTGCAGAACTTCCTTCTTTCTTTACAAACAAAAGTATCTCCTTCTGTATCAAAAGCAAAGGATTCTTTCCATTAAAGGTAAGAGTAATAGGCCCTTGTCACATTTTGCTACTCATTTTGCAAAGGTACTGATTGAATTTTCAAGTCTGCCCACACTCATCCCTATACCTCAAAAGCACTTGCACCAAAAAAACCTTTGAGTTTTTTTTCTTGTATTTCACATAAACTCTTTCACATACCTCTAACATTTAGGGTACCTCCATCTTTATGCATACTAGTAAAAAAAGTATCACCTGGCCAGCAAAAAGTGACTTATGAATTGATTCTTAGTTTAACTACTATCATTGGTGCAAAGTAATTTTTATTTTCTTCAGTTATGTATTTATATCCCATACATTAGTAAATTCATACAAACAAATGGATAATTTAGTTTATTTAAAGTAATTTAAAGTTGGTATGCACAAAGATGTGCATGAGATGCTCCAACTGATTTACCTACCTTGTGCACACATTCAAAGTCAAGTGGTTTTTATCATCTTTATCATCTTTTACATCAACATTCAAGTCAAAGGCTTCTTGATTTTGGACAGATCTGAGCCTCTGATCGGTGTGTTTTGTGTTGTACATAACATTGAGCTGTGGATTGCAAGTACAGACATCAGGTGATACGTAAAGCAAATCAGTCTGGTTTAAACACTAACACCACAACACCAGAGGAGTGTTAACATGAGAAAACACAAGTTCGCACAGACCTGCTAGCCTATAATTGACTTGCTATCCTGTAACTTGGACAAGCTCCTATCATACCTTTAAATGTGGACTGACAATTTACCATTTGCTATCTGAAATCATTGTAGAAGGACTGTGATTTTCCAGAAGCACTTTTCATTCCCCTTTCTTTAGCCAAGCAAAATGCATGTTGGGGTCTTGCAAGGGGAGTTACTCCAGCCATTTTCCATTTATTTTTCTACTAAAAGCAAAGAAGAACCCTCTCACCATGCTATGTGTTTTATCTGGATAACTGAGGGAATCATCTTTAATTTCTGATTTTTGCTTTTGCTGCCATGTCTCTCACTTTTTGATACAAAAAATATGGTCCTTCTTTCAACATCTACACACAATTCCCATTGCCCTGCCCAACATTGCTGAGTTTGGCATGCTGTGTGAGTGCAGAGCCAATTCTGTAGAGGCACTCAGGACAACCATGGTGAAACTGTGAAGATTTATCACGTACAACTGCTCCACAGGAGAAGGCAGTACCAAGGATGAAACCAATCTACAAAGCCTGCCAGCTGAAGGCACACAAAAAACAGTGCCTCAACAATCTGTCATCATAGAAACAAAACTGTTTTAACTTTTGCCAGAAAAAGCTAATGAATGGGAATTTACTGCCAAGGCAGGATGCTCTGAAACCACATACTGAACAGGTCAATCAGCTCATATTTTCATGGAATAAGCTATTGCTGTTACTGACTTTCTTTTCCCTATTTCTCATGACAATGAAAGAAAATGTTTTCACAACATGGAGTTTAATTACAGCCTTCTTCTGTATACACACTCGCTTTGGGGACAGAAGGCTATTATACAGAAATGCGCATCAAATTAACAAAATGAGCAACTGTATTTCTTAACTTTTAAAAGGCAACTGCCAAAGCTAAAGGCAGAACCGGTCCAGTCTTGTGTGTAGTACACCAGTTCTGGTGAGAGGCCCAAGGAGAGAAAACTAAAACCTAAGTGTTCTGCATGAGAGTGATGCTTCTGATAGTAGCTGACACTCTCAACTGCACTACACTTCTGAAAATATGGCATATTTACAATCCCTTAATCAATGCCTATCCTTTTTTCTTCTTCAACTAGCAGCATAAATGAGCTTGACAGAAGATGGGATGTGAATTCAATGAAAACATCTCCAATATTTTCTGTCCCTTTTTGAGTACTCAACATGCATTCAAATGGTAATGGAGAAGTATGTGTGCATTTCATCATGTACCTGTTTCTGTACCATCACACTAACTATTCAGTCCTCTGCCTAAATTCAGCAAAAACACACTGAGTGGAAAAAACAGTCAGTGTTTCCAGTAATGAGTAACAGGGAATTCTGAGGTTTTTTCCTCATTCCCTCTCTATACCTGATCAGGAGATCAAGGATATCTTGTTCACCTATCCACTTTGGCCATACCCACCCTTGTTTGAGCCTGTTTACCCTCCCCTTGTTGTTGCTAGTTCTATATTTTAGTGGCATTCTCCTTCCTTCCAAGAAGGCACAGGCCATGCCAATCATTTTAGTCATGTGTCAAGACCAGTTCACAATGGTTCTAGACAGCAGAGAGGTGTTTCTTTCAAAACTTTCAGCAGGGCTCCTAGGGAAGACTGCTTCTTTGACTTCTTTCTTTAGAGCACCTTTCATAACACCCTAAACCATCCTCTCTTTCCTCTTGCAGAATAAGTGTCTTAGGTCATGTATGGTATATACCCACACAATGTAGAGATGAGCTAGGAAAAAAAAAAAAAGGGTTTTTTCCTAGGAATCCATTCTGTTGGGAAAGCATGATTTCCATTAATGGATTTAATCTTGTGCTGTGGGATATTTAAATTAATTACTGTTCTGACATGCTGCATTTGGCGAGAAAGTCAAATCTCAGAACAGTGATTCTTACCACTGTACTCACTGACAGGCGCAGTACAATGAAACCCAGCTGAAAAAATGTGATTGCTACGCTATAGCTATATGCTATCTGATTTATTAAATCTTATCCAGACCCAGCCTGTGTATGGGAAAAAGAGAACCCTCATTCAACGTCCTCAGCACTCTTTCTTTTAGAATACCAGACCTGCCAAAGGAAACAGAAGGAAAGAACTGATCTTAGCAAAGACAAGGTTTTAGAAGAACTACTCACGGGTGTTAAGAGCAACATCCTGAAACAAGTCAAAGCATCTCTGACTCAAAGTTTCAGGAAAACAGGCAACAGCACAGTGACCTAAATGAACAAGTTATTCTAGCCTTGGTTCTTGAACAGCAGTTCTTTGTGAGTACATTTCCACATTCATGCAACAAACCAGGAACTTAAACCCTGGTGCTATACAGCACCAGGGAGTGCTCCCACCACAGTCAACTGGCTATTCTCGGTGGAAGACTTCCGCCCAGTCTTCACCACACGTGCTAGTTTGAATGTGAAATTTTCTTGCTGGAAATAATGTAATTGGAACCAATGTGTTTTCACAAAAGGTATTAATTTCAACAAATCAGTGTTTTCCAGCATGAAACTACTTGCTGAAAAGTTTTTGATCAGCTCGCCTGACAAATTAGCTGACTTAGTATCAGGGAGTATTTCTCAACAATGATTAGGGTTAAGTAGTCTTAACTGTTCTGGAGCCCCACTTTGTTACATTCCACCCAGGCACACTGAAACCACAGATGTATGAACACAGTCCTGCTGAAATGTTCACTCTTATCTTGGCCTGCAAGCCCAAATCTAAATTATCCTCTGAAACTTTTGAACTTTGCTGTAAACTTTGTTTGCACTGCCGGGAATTAATAACCATAGGTTGTGATTTATGGCATTGTGTGTTTTGCAGACTGGTGGTGAATGAATGAGGTGTATCTCCAGCTACTGTTCACTGCTGATAGGCAGCTGTGAAGACCTCTTTGAAAAGGTCTTTTTGAATATGAAAAACATATTTTCCAACCATCGCCAGGCTTTTTTTGTTTCCCAGATGCATAAGAACACTAAAGTGAAGGACAGACTGGACAGAGCTTGAGATGGAATCTGACCTGCCATAAAACTTGGAGAAACTTAAAGGTGGCTTTGGATCAGTTTTCTCAACTATGACTAGTAGTGCAGCAGGAACTCTGGATCAGTGACACAGTCAGCAAGTCTATACTCTCAACAAAATGAGTCTCTCATGCTCAGAGACTAGTATTTCTGCAATATTTGTAGCTTTTCCAAGGTCTGCTCTTTCACCTGTGAGGTCACAACCAATTGTCATGGAGAGGGCACCAGGGAAGTGAGAGCCACTGCTGGCCATAACAAGTTAGATCCAGCACTGTTTTCTTCTGATATGGTATTTCTCCTTCCACTCTCTGCCATGCCCACACTTTTGATTGATGCTAAGTGTTACTGTTACAAACTATTACTGTTCATAGTTTGCAGGATGCCTTGACTCCTTTTTCATGCTATTTTAGAACACTGTAAAGACTGCTGGAGAACTTAGCTGTAATAATCTCTTATTTTTAGTTTTTGTTGCTTTCTACTTCAATGCAAGGAAAATAACTCTTACAACTAGCAATGCAATACTATTCTTTACTGATCTGTGCCCTATTATGGTCTACCACAGGTTCTCAATGAGGCATTTCTGCTTAGTCCTCATACCTGTTTTACTCTGAACTCTGTGCCTGCCAGTGTACCACTGCAGTCCTTTGTCTTGCAAACAGGCATTGCATTTCTGCAAGAGGACAGGGCTGCTTTGACACAGCTGTGGCCCATGGAAGTGCCCCAAAACTGTCAGTCATCCAGCAGTACTTAAAAGGTGAGGCCATTGGGCAGAAACAAGGACAGGAATATAGCTATATTTTATTCACAGCATTCCCCAACTACTTTGCTCTTTGCTACTGATTTAAGACATTTTGGAAGACTGCTCCTATTAACATGTTTTATAAAGCTTCCAAAATACACCTTCCTCACAGAAAGCACATCTTTAGCAAGAATACCTACCTGACTGCCTGCATTGCCTACCTGAAAGACAGCAAATCCCATTCCCTCCGCTGACACTGTAATTGTCATTTGCTGTGCAGGGGGAATCTGAAAGAAAGATGAGTAAACCAGTGTTTTCAAAGTACTTTCACTCAGCAGACTTTACAAAAGTATTCCTCACTTTTTACAGTACCTCCTTAGTCTGAAGCAGGAAACGGTTTCGAGTATCAATTGAGAATGTTTCTGGCATTTCCAAAGAAGGGGCCGTCACTGTTACATCCATTTCTGTTTTGCTTGCTGCAGTGAGAGCTGCAAACAGACTCAATGCTTGTAGAGCCACCACTGTGTCCTGTTGAGAGAAACAAACCCTTCAGTACAAAAAAGAAGAAGCCAGTGCAGCACATTGACCATGCCTTGGGGAGCTCATAGTCCCTGCATTCACATTTTTGTTGATCATGCTGGAATCTTCCTGCAGCCACCACCGTATCTCTGGATTCCCCTGGCACGAAGAGAGCAACACAAGACAAGAAGTTAGCTACTGTGGAAATGGAAAATGAGGTGGCAGTCAGCTAAGGAAGTTTTCCTCCTGTGCAAGATACGTGCAACACCTGACGAGTTGAAAGACACAACAGTCAGAATTACACAGCACACCAACCATGGAGAAAGACACAGAGGAAAATAACAATATTGTCTGGATATATTTAGTGACTGTGTATTAAGTACTCAGTACTGCACAGGAATTTTTCAGGGTGCCTTGATCGTTGACACAAAAGCTACAGGTCTGAAAAATTATTAACACTAACTTTAACAAAAGGCTGGAATTAATTTTTATCAGACACTCAGGACCAATTAAAAGGGTTTCAGCCCAGTTTATCCTCTGTATTTAATCCAAAGATTTTGTGCAATTATTTAACCACTGCAGAATATACTTACAAACACACTGTCATATATGTATCTAAAATTCTTTTTTTCATCTTTTTGTGTGATTGTAGGCATAGCTCTCCAGGTTTTGAACACAAGAGGCAGTATTTGAATGTTTGGTCCAGTTTAAGGAATGAGAATTTTAACATCCACTATTTTCTGTGAAGAAATACAGTAATCAAATATATGTCTCTAATCTTCTCAGGAACTTTTACTGTTCATGCAGTTCATTTTGCACCTATTTTTAACCAGTAAGAGTGAAGAAATTGGTCTTTCAGGCTTGGCATACAGATACTTTATTTATTATTAAGCCACTTCTAGTAACAAAATTCTAACGTAACAGGAATTCATTCACCACAACATGGTGGCTGTGCTATACCTTAAGGGACTAGCATGTGCTGACTATTCACTCTAAGTGATAAAAAAATCCACTCTCCTTCCCATGCCACGTTCTTGTCTGAGATGACCTGCTTACCACTGGTTTCTTAAAATGCAGAAAGATCAGCTGACTAGCAACTCCAAATTCACAGTAAACTGTATCATGTGTAGAGATTATGGTAAATTACTACACCCTAACTTATAAAGCATCACACATGCAACTTAATACTTTCCTCCTTATTGTTCAACAATATATTAAGTTTCTTATGTAATAAACTCATGGAAGGAAATGCTCCAAAAATTATTTTTAAAGCAATCTTAGAAGTTAAGTAAAAAACTATGGAGTCATTTCTAAAATTAAAAAAGGCATCTAACAAGATATTGGAGTAATTTTGAAATCAAAACAGTTTAGACTATGGAAGAACAAAAGGATTAAATTAATTTCTTAATTTTACCGTCAAGGGTAAATGATATGTTGCTACATTTTCAAACTTTCAAGTAAAATAGATTTCAGGAGAATAGAGGAAAGCTTTCTGAACTCATTTAGTGCTTCAATCAACCTCTCCAAATAATAAGCAAGAATTAACACATTAGGAAAGCACTAAAACCTCAGGGGAACCAGGCTGGTTCTTAAATTGCATTTTACTCAGAACACATTTCTCTCAGATTAATACCAACCAACATCTGAAATGAATGAAGGATGGCCTGTACACCTTGGTACCAAGCAGCATGATGACATGTGGCATTTTACTGTGAGCGGCATTTGTAGTTAATTTAAAAACTAGTTTAAACCAATGCAATCCAAAGTACTATCTAATTTTTTGGATGCCAGCACAGCTTACAAGATGTGGCTTCAATAACATGGAAACCTCCTGGAGATAGTGAAGATTTTCCAAATTTCATGGCACATCAAAAATCTATGCAATAATAAGGACAAAATACATTATTAAGTTAAGACCAACTGCCAACAGAGGGATCAGGTTAGGCTGTTTTTCTAAAACCTACTCCTTTTAGTTAAAGGCTAAGTTAATAGCCCTTCAGGAGTTGAGGACCTACACATGGTAAGAATAAAAAGAGGCTTCTCTCCTTGGAAAGAAAGTAAGCATAGATATTCATCATACTTATTTCAAAATTATGTTTAAACACTTTTCCATGGACACTACTATTTCTTCTTAATTTGTTATTAGTATGTTATATAAAGAAGGTCTCCCTCTAATTCTCTTTTTTACTAGACTTGCCAAAAATACTAAAACTGGCTGTTCAGGAGTAAGATGCCAATAATTCAAGCTTGTACATAACCAAGGCTGTTACAGCAAAACAAAGCTCAGTAATTATTATGTAAAAATGGTCCTTTTTTATTTTTAAATATACACTGCTTGATTAGAAAGTATAGCAAAACCCCTTGAAATAAGATGTTACCTGAGTAGATGAAAATCCCCCAAGGTGATTTCTTTGATGACTTAACCATTTCATAATAGGGATTCCCTCAGCAAATCTGTCTTGATGAAAGTGAGAGAGAAGAGCGTATGCTGCAAGTTCAATATCAATGGACCGTGGCTGCCATGAGTCAGAAATTTCAGAAGCAGGTGTTACCCAGAAACAAAATTCTCCTGTAAAAGGAACCAATAATAACCTCAGATCCACAGACTGAAGTCTTTGGATTTCTGGCAAAGTCTTAGGGGAAGCCTCTTCATTAACACTTACAAATGGGTTCTAGCAAGGATCCTGTGTTAGTGTTTAGGCACGTGTTCCATAAAGGACTGACTTAAGTACTTCTCCAGCAATGTTTGAATCTAGATACAAATAAAGCTGGAGTCCAAATCAGTTACTCAACTGATTCCAGTGAACTTTACATTGATCCTTCCCTTCTCAGCCCAAAGTGCTCACATAAAGGAGCCCTTCTGAAAAAGTCACCTTGTTGTCCCAGTGCTCCTTTCTCTCAGGACCAGAGAAGGCACCTCAGGCAGCACAGCTGCTCAATAGACTCATTCTTGAGTAAGGCCTTCCCAAAAAAATTACTTCTTCTCTTCCCAGAACTGACTGTCCAAAAGGCCTAACACAGTAAACACAGATGGACGCTCAAAAGGCCCCATTGCTATGCTACAACACAAATTCATTTGGATTTTTCAAGGCGACAGTTACTATTTTGAGCCAAAAACTTCCATTTCTTATACTCCGTATGGTTTGTTCTTCCCACAAATTAGGACAAATAATTCAGCTGAACTTGAAAGAGGTTAAATATACCAAGATTATAGGTCCCCAAAGAAAGTGCAACAGGCCTCTGCATTGTCTTACAGAAAGTCCAATACTTCACATCTTCTTTCCCACACTCATTGTTCCCCAATACCCTCCTGATCTCTCCAAAGTACACTGGAATAGTTAACTTCATCCATTTATCTCTCTCTAACCAGGCTGATCATACGAGTGTGCATAATAAAATAGGAAAACTGACAAGTCATGTCCTTCAACAGCATCACAGTACTCCTATCAGGAACACTGTAACTGGGAACGAAAGCCCAAGCCTTGTGAATTGTCACTCATTTGTGGACACTTTTCATGAAGGCTGTCTTGGAACTTCCTAGCTAGTTCTCCTTATCATACTCTGAGCAGATTTGAATTCTGAACACACTGCAGATATATGATAGACATTTCTAAAGTTGACAAAAATCTATCTGTGCAACTGTATAAAATCTTTGTGCAGTACCTTGGCGTTCTGCTCTCTGGTTCAATATATTCAGTGCTTCCTTCGCTCTTGCACTTTTTGCCCAGGACAATGCATATGTCACAAGTGCCAATGTGTAATTATCTGAAATGCCTTCTTCTAATTTATCTTCTAGAAAATTTGTAGCAGTCTTGATGGCATAAGCATGCTGGAAATTAAGATAATATTGAAGAATGTACAGTGAATAAAACGTATCTTGGAATAGTAAAATGTAAAACAAAAATTTGTAGTGAACCAGAAAAATTACTAGCCCCAAACCACAGACAGTAAATAATGAAAAACTCTTTCAGAATCACAGATGAATCTCAAAGGCAAGCCTTTTGATCTGGCACTGCTTTTATGAAAACAAGTAATTTCAATTAAATCAATTAGAACCACTTAACATCTTTAAGACTAATTCCCCCCCAAGAAATTTCTTCGCAAGTTCTTAGACTAAAGTCATGACAATATTCTTGCGAAGAGAAACTGCCTTTAGATTTTGAAAATATAAAATTGAAGGGCTTAACATAACTTTGCATTGCTTTGAATAGGTAAGGGATGTTTAACAAAATGAGGTTAAATTTTGTCTGTGTTCAAATATCCTTCTATTTATATTATCTACTAAGCATTTGCCAGATACTAAGAAAATCTATGAAGCATTCTTGTAACTATGAATCATATTTATGAATTCCAGTACCTGTTTATCTGGGAACCCCAGGAGGGATGACATGATGTAAGCTGTGAGAGTAATTGGGTTATTGGTGCCTCCTTGAAGATCACTGTTTAACACTTTCCCAGGCTCCTGGAACTCTTAGCCATGCATTACAGCTTCCTCTGTTTCAGATGATATAAGAATACTGTAAAGTATAAGGTGCTCTATACAACCCTACCAAGCACAGCAAAGTGCATGCCTCACCCATCTAAGCAAGTAAACTAAACTTAATCCACAAAGAAATTAAGATATGTCCTTTTTGATGAAGATCACCCCTTCTACAGCTATATTTCAAAAATAAATATACTCTGAATCTGTCAGCACAAGCATCTTTATTCAAACATTGCTCTCCTGCCTTCTGCTGCTACACAGATGTTATAGTTTACAAAGTAATGCAGTTAGAAGTGTGATGTTAATTACCACGACTATCCCTGTAATGATATCCTTGAAGCAACCTTTGCTGGTTTACTATTAATCCCACATTATCCCCCGACTCCTTTCCAAATGTGCATTCATGTAACTCGTCACTGCACTATTTAAGTACCAGAGCTGCCAGTACAGGCAAATAATCTTCATCTTCCAAACCATCAATACTGAGTCAAAGGCAAACCCTCCTGATGTCAGTGAAAGACGCCCACTGACTCCAGAAGAAAGCCTCATTCAGTGGCACAGTAACAGGGACAGAAGCACGAACTGAAATATGTAAGTACATCTAAACTGAACAAGGGTTAGCAGAACAAAGTGCTGGAACCTCTCTCCGTTATCTATCTGGCTTCCACAGCTACACTCTGTATGCTTCCTGGAGTGAAACTCAGCACTGAAAAGACTATTTCAGCTGTGTTTACAGTCTCAATAAAAGGAAGTGTGACAGATGCGAGTAGAACAAATTTTTACCACCAGTAACTCTGTTCACCCCCGACAAAATGTCTCAGTCAGTCTTCAGCTTCCAGTACAGAGATAACTGATAATCTGATTGAAACAGTGATGATCACGTAGCCCTAAACGGTTTCAGTCAAGTGCTATCAATACCTAATTTAATTGTTATTGTTCATTCCTTTGAGTAAAGTAACAGAAAAAACTTTCAGACTAAACTATTTCCTCAGTTAAAATACTTCATCATTCTTTTATTTCTATTTTTTTCAAAATTAAAAAGCCTTGCCATAATAATGCCTTTGACAATATGTTATCCAGCAAGAAAGACCTTAGAGCTGGCCTGAACACCTAATGAAAAACAGGCAGAAGGCTAATACAGCTGGAAACTTTTACCAGCTTCACAAAAAATTTTCAGATGCAGGGAAAATATCTAAAATACTAAAATTCCACAATGATTCTGGCAGAACTACTCACCATGTGCTCCCAGAGGGATCTTCATTTCCAAAGGCACTAAAAGAGCCATCATCCCTCTGGAAAAGCAGCTCTCTTTGGTAGCCTGAAGTGGAAAAGTAGAGACAGGTATTGAACACTCTCCTCTCATGCGGGTCCCAGCACAAACCAGAACTGAAAATGCTGATATGATACAAGGCACTTTCTAAGGCTGAGAAGAGCACAACTCAAGCTTGAATTTCTTAAAAAACCTGCCAAATATGGAGGAACACACAAAACCATGTGGAAAATGATGAGGAAGTGGGTAGCAAAGGATCCATCTACAAAAGGAGAACCAGAAACTCCTGCGGCTGTTCATCAGCCACCCAAACAGTGCAGAGAGTGCCCCCACACACCCAGGGTTTCCTGAGCAGAGCAGTGAGAGCAGAGCAGAGATGCTCTAGAGTTCATTGCTCCATCATTTTGGGGAGCTTGTGTACCTACAGAAGTGCTCTACCTTTACAGCAGAAGGAAGAACAAGCAAAAATTGTTTTCCAACTGGAAGGGCAAGGCTACAAATGCTGCTGGAAAACCAGACCTCCTCTTCAGGTGACTTTTGCCAAATCGGTAGGCTTGCTATCAGAAAAAGCAAGCTGGAAGAAATGGTTCTGAACTGAATGAAAAATTTCAAAAGACCTGAAGATCCAAAATCCTGAGAAGAATCCTTTAAAATGTTATCCTAAGATTTTTTCAATATCCTGGACAAGTGCAGCTATCTCCTGACTGCAGGATAAATAATATAATAATATTATTTATCCCATAATGAAAGGGCCTCAAAGGCTCACTGGCTGCTCACAACCACCAGCAGCATTCTCACTCATAGACATCTTCTGTAGAGAACCAGTGTTTGCTCATGTTATAAATTAAGAGCTTCCTGTGCTATGCTACTCCCTGTAGTTTCTGCTATCTAAAGACTTTCTTCCCTTACATTCTGCCTGCCATTTGTGAATGTAGAATAGTAACAGCACCTATTTATCGCATTTCATAACATCTTTTCTTTTCCTCCACTTTTCCCTTTTCCCTTGGTTTGGCTATTTTAGCTATTATAATTAAGAAAGTATACTCATTAATCAAAGACCTGGTAGATACAGACACAATACAGAATGAGGCAGAAAGAAAACTCTAAGGCAGCCATTGGCAAGTCCTACACAAATGAATGAATTTACACAAATATGTCCTGTGAGGTCCATTGAACTACAACTCTAACTAGAGTCCTGAAAAATGTTCCTTGCTTTCACTAATAAAGGATTCATCCCCCACTTCCATACCATCCTGACTGTAGATACAGTGAGTGAACCATACCCCTAATTACTGAGGAACAAATGGCCTGGTCCCTCAATCTAAGCACCAGTGTAAGATGAATTCCTAGTCATGGTTTGTCCGTAATAAAAGAGAATGAGAAATAAAGCTGTGAATCTGCTACAGTATATCTGGGTACCTTCCCATGTAACCCCACTAGCAACAAATTTAGCTTTTGGGTCTTCTTTAGAAGAATTTACAATCGAAATCTTTGCTTTAATATAGGGGGTGTGTTATGTGTTACGTGTTATAGGTTAAGTGTTATATGACAGTAGCTAATTACATCACTAAAACTGATGAATCTTTCAGACATAGTATCATTAACTGAGATGACAGGTAAGTAAAGTATTCTCAAATGGAAGGAGAAAAAAAGGAGGAATGAGTGGCATTTCTCCCCAAGAAAAGCAAAAGTCACTGCCAAAGTTTCAGCCTCCAAATAATGTTCTATGAGGAGCACAAATGCATGTATATATATAGAAATAAAACTGCTTCCTTTTCAAAACTATCTGACTGCAAGGCCTGAAAATAAGGTCCTCTGTTTCTCTGCAGAACTGGCAATATACAGCAATAAGTATTATAATCATCATCCTGCTGGTAGTGTAAAAGCACTAGACTACAACTTTCAGCCTGCTTAACAAAGACTGCTGAGCAGCCCTTACACGGGCACAAATTCATCTCAGAATGTAAGCTTGGGAGGGATCAGGAAGATGAGCAGAACCAGAGGGAGGGAGATCACTCAGCTATTTCCTACATTCTGTTTGCTTTTGTCCCAGTGCCAGCCCTGCTGCAGTCACGCACAAGCCTCCCAACAGGAGCGTATCTAGCACGGGAAGTCTGCAGGAACGCTGGAACGGGAGAGCCGGAGGCTGCGAACCGCCGCGCTCGGTCCAACGGACACTCAATCACACGTGAGAAATGATGCTTCCAATGTCAACACATGGAAGTGGAAAGACAAGGAAAAGAAGGATCCTATTATGAAGATGTCCACTGCTATTTTCAGAGGGTTGGCTGGACCCCAAGAGATGTAGGAGGCTCGCTGAAAAGAGCTTGTAAGGCTGAAAGAGGAATGTATGAGGATGGAAAAGACTTCAGAAAGATGTGAAAGACTAAAGGATCACACATTTTAAACAGTTTGGAAATTTGCTCAAAATTTTTACCTCTTTGGGTCTAATAACAAAGCTTTCAGGCCAATCAGGTTTTTTTCATTTCAGAAAAAGTGATTACAAGATGGAATTTGTCATTACCACAATTAGGAATTGTGCTTACAAGGCAACTTTTCTTTGGCTTTCCCTTTGTTCTAAGTAAATAAAACTGCTAAAAGAAAGATCATGTAGCAGTTCCTGCTAGCTATATGATCCCTTCGTCTCACAAGCATTTAGCCATAAACTAATTATATTTACTTCAGATTCTGAGGTTACTTTTTTAAATACTTGGTGAATTATGACATATGAAATAGTCTGTTTTAAATTAAACTTCATAACAATCTTTCCAAAAACTAAGCCTATAAAAATTACATATTAGCTTAAGTTAAATTTCAAGTTGAAGATTACACTTGAAAAAATAATCAGTGCAACAACAGAAAACAATTATTAAAATAAAGCAAAAAAATTTTTTTTTAGATTGTGATTGTTTTCTATGTTAAGGTTATAAATATTTCAGCATACTTACTGTTTTGGCACCTACAGTGTTAAAAACATGTACCTCAATTCAAAGCCTCAGAAAGAAGTCAAAACACAATACAATCTGTATGTAAGTGACATTTAAATCAGTAATTTTCATTTGCTTTTAAATAACTTAAATTAATCCACTATTGGAAAACTTCAGAAAACTATGGTACCAAAGCTCAGTCTTAAAAGAGTGATAGATCACTCACAAACTTCAGAGTAGCTGTTTACATAACACATCTCTTCCTCCCCACTGTACTTTTCAACTAAACCATGTAGTAGGAAGGGTTTTTAAAAAAAAACAAAACATTTAACTGCTTTGACAGAAAATTAGAATCCTGATGAAAGGAAAATTTATTTTGAGCTGTGCCTTTTCCAAGGGAAATGTCAACTTGAAAAAAATCACACAAAAAAGGCTTTGAGGGGGTAAACAAAAATTGAAAATGTCATTGCAATACCTTAGTAGGGGTGCAGCTCACATGGGGCCGGTGTCACTGCCCAGCATGGAGACTGACACGTGGCGGCTGTGGGACACCACAGTTAGACACTGTCTGATCCAAAAACCAGAGATCAACTGTGGTCTCCAAATGTTGTGATGTTCTAGAGTATCTCCCAGTTCAAACATACAACAATTTCCAACTACAGCTTTCCAGCTTTTGATTTCTAGCACAGAGTTCACCTCTAATGAAGTCTAAAATTTGTGTGGGCAAAAAAGCCAGCCATGAGATCAAATGCCACTCCTTGAGTTCTACAAGGACACATCAGCCCAGGATGGAGTCACTGAAGACGTGGGATGAATATGGTTCACTCTGCTCACTGACTCAATTTAAACTGCTGTGCCCCAGGCTGAGATTAGAAATATTCCCTCACATGTGGTTTTATCAAACAAGAAGTAATAACCATCTAGGAAATCCATGTGAATTACTTTTTAGAACACACTTCTCATCTGAAAAAAAGTAATTATACAAAACCAGTATTTTTTTCTGGGAGAATTTTCCCTTGTAAACAAAATAATTTGCTGTCTAACTCTATCAACCAGAATAAAGAGGAAAGAAAAGGAAAAAAAAAAAGGGTTTATCTTCCAGTTGTCGTGACACAAACTGAGCAATATTTCAAACACCAGATGCAGAGTCACAGAAATCTTTTTACTAGGAAGATGTCTTAAAAATCTAACATCTTTCTTTTATGCATACAGACCTTTTCTCATAAACGATACCGCTTTTGATCTAATATCCTCTCTCAGCTGCCTGGTTTTAATCAAGTATTGCAAAACATAAACATTCGGAGCAAAATTGATCATATTCTGTTCACCACAGCCATAAGGCATCTTAATCAATGATGACAAACCGTTGATAGAAGGCCCAAGTAAATCACCTGGAAGATAAAATTCAACCAAAATAAACCAAAGCTTATTGTAAATAAATGCATACCTCACACATTAGGGGTGGTAAAATCTAAATTGGGATAAAATATTACATATTATAACTATATATATATATATATATATGATGTATTAGGAATAGTAATAAACATCACTAAGCAGTCAGAAAAAATACTTCATCTACTGATCAACTTTATACCCACTGATGCAGCTCTCTACAGACCTTTCCAACTACAGAGTAATTTCAAACAGTTGTCATTAAAAAAAAAAACAACAAAAAACTCAAAAGCAAAGAAACAAAACCCCACATAACCAAAAGCTATTTAGCCCAGGAAAGTGTTTCAATAGTGGTATGTATTTGAAACTTCATTCATTTCTTCTCTCACCTAGCCTTGGTGACACAGTAAACAACAATTAGTCAGGTTATAGGTAACATTCTGAAGACAGCATAATTAACAGGATACAAGAAAACTTTGCAGGACTTTCCTGACCAAAATCCAACTCCCTAACTCTGAAAACACCTTACAAATATCATATTGTCATAAATTAAAAAAATTAAAGAAATAAAACACTCCATCCATAAGGTCTCCCTATATTTAGTCTAATGCCCGATAGTAAATTACTGTGGCTTAATGATTCAACCTACTTATATTGCAGTTAAATAAAAATTAATGCCATTATTAATTCCCTAATTATAGAAACAGAGTAATTCTTACCAACAGCAGTGACCTGCACTCTCTCACTGCCACTTACAACATCAGAAGGAAAAGTGAATTCCAAAGATTTTGACACTGCTTGTCGTTTATTCCCAGTCAAATCCAAAAGGACTGTCTGAGAATACGTCTGTTCCAATCCTTCAGCCTATAAAGATAAAGACAGGGATTCTGAGTATCCTTCTGTAGTTGATCCTGCCCTGAGCAGAAAGGTCATGCTACTCCCTTCCAATATCAACCAATCTTTGATTCTGTGATCTTAAGCTTTTATTGTAGGATGAGATATTCCAATATCTACCATCTTCCACTGAAATGGAGCCTAAACATGAATCAGACTTCGACATCCAAAGCTAGGCAAGTTTTACCAGAAAGTCTGAAGGCTAAAATTCCACCTGTAGCAAAATAAAGAAATGTTACTCTAAAATAGGCTTTGAATGAAAGCCAGATGTGTGGCAAAATCAACTGCATTTATCTGAAACAGTTAGCAGGTCCACTCTCCACAGGCTGTTAAATTAGCTGCAGCACCAGGGGCTCAGTGATACACAAACAGCTTTCAAGAAGCATTAGACAAACTATCTGTAGTAGAACACATCTATGTGTTCATTCCTGGAAGGGGATCTAAATAATTTTAAAGGACTTTTAAAAAACTATTTTATAAGTAGTGTTTTCTACTTAAAGCCACCTGACCCCAAACCAACCATGCAGACCAAGAGGCAGACAGGTACATTGGTTTGCCTTTTTGCTGCACTGTTGCCCATTTTCAGGAACAATTTACTTCATGAACAAGCCAAGCTTCAGACTGTTTACCTTCACTAAAACTTTCTGGATAACAGCATCAGAAGCAGCAGATGATATTGCTGTCACTTTGATGGGAATTTCTCCCAGCTGTTTTGGTTTGATTGGGAATTGAACAGTTTTCCCATCTTCACTTGGTACAGATATGGATTGTTGATTTGCTGTAGCATTTATTTCATTGGATGTTAGAATAACTTCAAAAGCATCATTCATATCCAGGATCACAGTAACCTGTAAATACAATAATATTTGCAATACAAAGTATTAATTTTGAAAAGCTGCTTTCATAAACTGCCACCTGCTTCGTGTATAGAGAAATAGGTTTGCCCAATAAAGAAAATAGGCCAGTTCTCACTGGACAGAGAAAGACAGTCTCCACCAGTGATGAAAACCCTGTAATATCTAATAACATTCAAAGATAATGAGATTGTTCTGTTACCTCAGCTTCTTCTTTCAAATAATTAAAGATGTTCACTTCCAAAATGAACTGCTCTCCTCTGATGATGGAGTATGGAAGGTTCAGGAAAACAAAAAAAGGCTGAAAAACTTGTAGCTGCAAAACAAAATCAGTCATGAACCCTTACAACTAGAGACTAGAAAGAAAATTACTGTACAGTGTGTCTTCCAATCACTTTTAAATTCAATGACAGAGTAATGTTTAGTTGGACTCTACAGCTGACAAAACATATTACTGCAGGGCTGAAACAGAAGGCAAAAATGCTTCTGGTCATTAGCACCATTAGAGACACCGTTCAGATGAGAGCTGCTGACAGCTTTGACAGGGCAGCCCCAACAGAGGCAGCTGAATTAGGACTATGAGTCTGTCATCTGGCAAGTCTGGAAGCTGTGATCTGTCCTGAGCTCTCATTAAGGTAACTGAATTGCTTTGAGTACACAAGTAATGGATTAATGTCAGTTGACCTATCCCCATGTCAATACACAAGTAACTTAAGTAACTGACTCACCCAAATTTTGTAACTTACAATGATTTTTTTTTTAATTTAGTAAGATTAATCTTAGCATAAGTTCTTTAGTAATACTTCTAAAAATACATACTATATTAATTAATATAACGGCCTGCAGAAATTATCAACATGTCAACTAAAAATTATTTTAATTCAGTTTGCATTTAAAAACATCTTCCAAGTGTTTCGAGTTTCAGAAACAAAAATCCTTCAGCTTTTTTATCTAGCTAACAAATACTTAAATGCTTTCTCTAAAAATAAAAAACAGTTGCTAGCTAAAGCTCTCAGTGTCATAAACTTCTTTAGATATTAAACATGAAAGATCTGACGGAGACTTTTTTGATTAGTTCATAGTAAAGGTTTTCCCTTTATACCTATTTTCTTTGTCTTTTTACTTTTCTTTAAAACTGAAGTTTTACACTCATGAATATGCCAGTATATTACAACAAAATACAACTGAGTGAAATTACTGACACTCTGTGTAGGAGAAGTCCAAATAAAACATGATGCAAAGCAGTACATGACATAAAGCACGCAGATGTCATTTATTTCCCCCATAACATTTTTCATGTCTTTCTTTTACTTGCCTCTCTGTATGGTACTGATTAACATGTTTCAGCCATATGGAACTCTAAGCACAACCTAAATGTCCCAACAACAGTGAAGTACTGAACAATACATGGGGGTGATTATAGCTAAATTATTATCTCAACATCTGTTCTACTTGGAGCCTTCTCACATTTGAGGATGAGAGGCCAAGTGTGTATTTCCATACAGTTTTAATCAGAAAACTATTCCTCCTTCTGTCCCATCTCTGCCGAGCCAAGTGAAAGAAACAAGAATCAAGATTCCAGTCTCAAAGGAGCCTTAGCCACAAAATGCAGATTGGGCTCCAAATTCTGTAGTGCAGTTCAGATCAGGATGTTCAAAGCACATGCTCTGTGTCTGGTATAGCTGCCAGCTGTGAAATCTGGACCTAGATCTCAGTTTGGATCTCAACAGTTTCCCCTCCCCAGGAATTTGAGGGCATGAGAACTTAAATGGGTAAGTTGGCTGTCTTCAAGCTATGCTTACACTAGTCCAGGAACCAAGATGTAAATCTACAGCCCACTACTACAGTCTCAACCTTTCTAAACTTAGGTATGGAAGTGGAGCTGTCTCTGATAGGAACATAGTTTCTCTAGGATCTTTATGCAATGAATGGATGGATTATTCTGTATATTTAGAACACTAGCTAAATGACACTTCAATAATTAATTCCTATTTTAAACACCTAAAGAACTCTCTCAGTAGTGGTTTCCTTGAATACAGAGTGATCCTAAGACAATTACACTTGTACACTGGGTATCTCAGGTTAGAGATCTAACTTGAGGACTGCTGAATTTAGCTTAAATCAGTGAACTCCTCGAACACTTGGAAGCAAGAAAAGAGCCTTGGGACACAGGAATTTGGGGGCAAGAAGACTCTCACCCCAAGGCTAGCTCTCAGTGTCCACTCTGCTCCTCAAACTAAGTCATCCAAAACTTAGCACCTAACACAGATCACAGAATGGTTGGGGGGACCTCTGTATGACATCTAGTCCAAGCCCCCTACAAGTTTACCTAGAGTAGGTTGTACCTGTGTTTACTCCAGGACTGCTTTTGACAGATAAATTTAGTCTTAAATCAAGTCTCTGTTCTCCCTCCTGGGGTAAGCATTAGCCAAAAGTGTTAGCAGAGCAGCAGACAAATGCCTCTCACATCCCAGCCACCTCCTCCTGCCAGTCTGTGCAAACCTCACTGCATGCATTACCAGCTCATGGACTGCTCTCTGGGCACAGCCAAGAAAACATGGAACACTGTTCCCAAATAGTCATTCCCCACATCTACACACAAAGATTCTGAAATGGGCACATCCTGGAAGTACTCTAACAAAAAAAAAACCTGCTCCAACAGAAATGGGCATCCAAATATCTGTGTGGAGTCTTAGTCACATGAGCAGGAAGGGAAGATAGATACAGTATGTGATACTTCAGTGATGTTGTTTTCTTTACAGTTTGAACACACATGGCCTCTCAATCACTTCATTAGCACAAGGAGATGCTGTTGTTAGAAATAGATCAGAGTCCAGCAACAACCTGCAGTGTTACCAGCCTTAAAGGAGAGCTCTCTAGTGAGATGGTACCTCCACCGGAGCAGTCGTCACTCCAAGCCCGCCGTTTTCAGAGATCACAAAAGCACTGGCTACCCAGGATGTGATGGTATCAGGTACTATGGCATCCACTGTGGTTTCTGTGTCAGACCTGATGGCACAAGGGGAGAGCAGACTTTCAAAACCATCCATTTATGGACATCGGTAAGTGGACACATACGTTTAAAATGCATGAAAACTAAAGCTCAAATTCCTGGAAAGAAAAGCTACTCATTTTCCATTTTTTTTTTTCCTTTTCTAACCATTTAGAAATAATGTGATGGGATCAAAATTATTTTAAAAATTTAAATTACGTGAATTGAAGGTAATTACACTGGATCACATTACATGTAATCCACTTTTACAGGTCCCTTAAAACTATCCCAGATGATGGTTGCTTCATGAACTTCTCAGCTATAAAAGAATACAAGATTTGTGCTTCATGACACAGGTCAGATTTCACCATCATTTGACAGTTTGATCTATTCACTGAATTAGGTGCAGATAGCAATAGATTTCTGGGCTAATCACCATCTTTTTATGTACTGTTGAGAAAAAGGCTAGGTCTCCCTATCCATTATCTCCCAGTTTGTAAATATAAGAGTTTATTTCTTTTGTCTCTAAGTACTAGAGACGAAAGGAAAACGTAGATAATATTAGACATTAATCTATTAATAGTAGACAATAGTAGATAAAAGTTCTAGCTACATTTATCTAGCTTCTATTGAAACCCCTAGGTCTTCAGTCAGGCATAATCCTCTCTTGTGCAGTTGTACAACTCCTCATTTTTTCCATCTCTGATCTCACTTGTGGCCTCTAGGTGGTAGCAGAATATAAATCTACATTTTTAAGCAGTGCTCTTCAGCACCAGTGTAGAATGCTACTGAAACCCACAAAAAAAAAAAAATGGCAAGTGAAAATTGGTTTCCTTTTGTTTCTAATTTATACCTCATTTTAGTGTCAATCCAAAGCCAAGTCTCTGGAAAATGTGTCCTCACATAGAGATTGCTGAAATCAGGAGGTCCATTTTTAGATATCGACATATCATCACCGAAACCATCCTCTATAGGTATCATTCCATCATCTACAAAATAAAAAATACTGTCCTACCTCCAAGTATCTGTATTTAGAAAACTCAAATAAATACAGTTAAGAAAAGTCAAATTAACATATTGTTTGGAGTCTATTCTACAGCTTTGTTACATATGATAAGACTACTCTGGGACACTGGGAACTTTTTGATTTTAATAATAAAAAAAGTTTCACGCAAATTTCTACATGGCCTCTGAGGACTGCTGATGAAACTGGTTTAATTTGGCTACACATGACAAACCACTGCAATATGTATCAACTGGAGCTGCAAATGAAAACTCTACTCATCCTTAGGTTTTTAAGGGGTAATGTCACTGAAGTGAAAAAGGAGAATTTCTGAAATGCTTTTATGAATTCTGTATGTCTTGAACCTCTGAAATGTTAATGATTTGCCAGGCTGGATGCAACCTGTATGCAGCACAGTAAGAAGACATAATAGGGGCCCTATCCCATGGACCTCCTTCCCCACTCAGTAAATTAGATTTGGCTACATTTGTTGTATTACTTACAAAGAAAATGTTCCTTATCCTCCTCAAGAACTGCATCAGTTGATACCCAAAGGCTGCATTTCTGGATAAAATTTATACAGTATATCTCAATAGAGGACACTCAGGACATCAACAGTGCTTATCTATTTTCTTTTTCTCTTCTTTCTTTTTAGGTAAATAAAGTCATAAAGCAAGCATGAAACTAAAGCAAACAATATACAGAAACCTAAAAGAACTGAGATGACACGAATCTGAAAATTGCCATAATGACTGAAAAGTTTTCAAAGTGAAGACTATATCAGGCATAAATCAACCTGTATTTATGGAAGTATAAATATATTCCTTGGCATTCAGAATATTACATATTAACAAAATTCACAATTCTAAATAAGCCATGAAAACATTACATTGTCTATATTTGCGAAAGTTAGAAAGTTCATTTTTTTCTAGCAAGTGCACTAAGCAGTAAAAACACAACAGCCTAAAATTATGAAAAAATTCAAAAAGTACCTGAAATACACCAAAAGAACCTCTGACCAGGGGGAAATACTGCACTGTGCTGTATAAATTGAGCTCATGGAGGACCTAAAGGGAAAAAAAAAAAAAAAAGATCCAAAGACTGAATGCCAACTCACAGTTGTAAGAGCTTTCACTGTTGCTAATTCATACAGCTGTACCACAAGCTGTAGGTTGCTTACCTCTCATGTCTGTGACAGGATGAAGGGGGTTACATTGTAGTGGTTTTATGATTAATGGAAGAGTGGCCAAGACTGTGTACAAGCCTGGAACAGAGCCTATAGCCCACTGATATTTTATGGTACTTAGGCTAAGTCCTTTGACTACTTTAGGAATTATATATATTGTAAGCTCTTTCAAGCTATAGAGGCAGTAAAGTTTCTGCAAGTAAAGGTGATTTAAACATATGAATAATTTATTCTGTGCTCCTAAGGAAAAAGAAAAAATCTTTATTTTATATTATTAACCTTAAGTAGCACAAAGCACAAATCATTTGTTATTTTTTTGTGACTTTGTCTTTTCTGAAAGAAGAAACTGCCAACAACTGTCTAAACAATTTATCAAATGAAGAACAATGAAGTATTGATTGGAATTGGAAATGCTGTGCCTATTACCTTTTAAGCCTTACAGTCTCTTCCACTTGTGTGACTTGCAAAAGTAAAAAAAAATTGCATAATTACAGGCTAAAAATCATGCTCAAAGAACATTATTTGTTCAGCATATAATCTGTAACATTTCCACAAACATACATCTTTCATACACACAATAATGACAACATACTTACAGATTCTTCTGTTATGTCACTACTTTCTCCCAGAAGCTTTGCACTTTTATCAACAACTGAGAGTCCAACTACTGATCCTGGCTCTGTTGTACTGATTTTAAGGGAGACTTTCTCAGATGGCTTGGCCTTATCTTTGCTCCAAGAGATTTTAATCTAGAAAAAAGTGAAACACAGCACTGATTTAAATTCTACAGTGATATTTACAGCTGTTAACAATTCCCAGGAATCAATTTTTTTAGATTTGTTTTGGCTATAATTAAGGCCCTGGATTTGCTTTTCCTAACCTTTGGGGCACTGGGGACCTCTGAGAGTCTTTTTCCTAGGACTTTTGGTAACTTGAATAAATCATGAGGCAAATGGGGACATTTTTCACGCAGTAGGACAAACAGGCTTCCTACTGATGTGCGGTTATAAGTGTTAAAGTCTCCAGAAGAGAGAAAGAATTTGAACCCATCCAGCCTTTGGATGGTCTCACCTATAAAAAGTGATACTGAGGCTTTTATTTGCACAAAGGACCAAATCTCATCCTGCTAAGTAAGCTGGAAAAATCAATTCATTGATGCAATAAGTGTTTTGAGATAAAGTATGGATAGTCACATGAAACACAAACACTGGTCACAACGTGACCACTGCCTGGCTAGAACAAGCAGTTTATCATGGTCTTGATAAACTTTTACAATTCTACTCTTAGAGCACTTATGATACCTCGTCACTATGTTGGCCATAGTAATCTTTGGCTCAGAAATTGACCAAACCACTAAAAATACAAGGAGATGCTGTGCATCTGTTTAGGTGGAAAACACAGCACCAGTAGAAGGGACTTTCAAATATGAAAAAACTGGACCCTAATTGCATTGGTATTATCAAAATCTTTCCAAAGACTTGCAGAAACCTCAGATTAGATCCTCAAGGAAATGAAAAAGTTTTTACATTTACAATACTATGATCCAAAATACCGTTTATGAAAACCAGACAGAAACATGGTCTCACACTCAAGTTCAATACAATTACCTTGTCATCCAAGGCAGGCTGGATGGGGACAGTGAGAGCATCATTTACAACCACTCCAAGCTCATCTACATAGAATACAAGTACAGATATCAAAGGAGCCCAGGAATTTTCTGCTGTTAAAGTGAATGATTTTGTAGACTTTGTGCCAAAAGCCATAATTTCTTCCTTAGATAATACCTGAAAGAGAATAAAATCAAACACTCAAACTGTCGGTATCCTCAATATGTCATAAGCTCAGCAATTCATTCTACAAGCATCTGCTAAAGAAGAGACACATAGATGTGTGTGATTCATCATTATTTTTACTAACTGGTAGTCCAGGTTCTGTGAAAGTGGGCACAGTAGCTGATGTAATATTTAAATAATATATTTTTTTCTGTGTTTCAATTCCTGTATTACTATGGACAAGTAAAGAACTACAAGGGCACATATATGGTATGAGAACATAATACAACAGTAATAAGGTTGGCTCATGTGAGTTTGGATCAGGCATATACTTTTAAAAGCAAACCTTCAAAACACCCCTACTTAGAACACTTTGTTTGCCTCATGGAGAGCATGAACTCGGGTCTAGGAAAGTGCTCCAGTTAAAAGCAGGCATTCCTTTTAACAGATCAGATTAGGGCTAGTCTAAGCTATCCCAAATACCCGGATTTCAGGTCCACAGCATCAACTTTTTCACCCTAGATTTGTTCCTACCAGATCATACACTTACTAACAAAGACAGAAAGATGAAGGGCAGTTCCCTGCCTTTGGCTGCATGGACCTGATTTATTTTAAACCTTCTAGAGAGTGTTTCTATTATAGAAAATACATATGAATACCCAAATTTTACATGGTTTTCCTAATTCAGTTTACTATTAAAGTCTGTGAAAGAAAAAAGAATCCTAGCTACCATGGTCACTAAGATGCTGACTGAACAAGACAGTCATGTGTTAAAGACAGGATGGGAAAATTAGGATAGTATATATAATAAATCTTTCTGATCCTTTAAGATACAGTACAGCAGCTGAGCAATTAAGCCACTACACAAGACATTTACTTTAATATGCTTCCTTATGAATCTCCCTTGTTAACAACACCCCTCTGTCCACTGCACCATCTGTTTCCTTAGCAGGCAGCTCTTCTCACCCTGTACCCACAGGCTCAGCCTGCCAGTCCTGAATCTGCATAGAGGCTCTACCAGGCCCCTGCTTCCATCTGCATCTGCACAAAAAGCCACAGTTTGGGCTGCTCCTGGGACATCCTTGTCCCTTCTCCCATTGCAGAAGCTCTGCACAGTCAGAAACAGTATTGCTCTCACAGCTGTGTCTTGTCTCACATCTGTGAGCAGAGATAACCCAACACCCAGATCAAAGAAGCACTTTTTCCAGAAGCACTTCCTTACAGTGCCAGGGGCATTCCTCCCAGGTAGAATAATAGAATTCTCTTTAAAAAAGGACCATTCTAGTGGAAAGGAAGTTTTTCAGCCTCCTCTTCCAGAAATCACAATTAAAAAATGCTGAATCTCTCAAATCACATTCCACTCACTGGAGTATTTCTCAAGTTGGCAAAAGTCATCTTGGATTGTCCCAAAGCCTGTAACTTACCAGATAGTGATACTCTCTCACTGGCTTGTTGCTTGCAATGCTCAGCTCAAAAGGCTTCCCAGCCTAGGAAAAGCACATGATTCATATGGATGAGTATGGAAAATCCATGAGTAACTTGGTTTTTATCGTGGCCAGTTTTGTCTCAGACTGTACCTTTATATCCTGGCTCCTTGTTTTAACCTGGAGATAAGTCTGACTGGGGGAGCTGAACACATCATAAACACCTATGTCAGTCTTACTGCTGAGGAACTCTGCCTGTGAGACAGTGTAAAAAACAACTCTTAACAAAACAGAAAAATCTGTGATGTTTATTTATGTAGTACAGCTTACAAGAGCATGGTAGCCTTAGCAAAAGTCTACTTTATGCTTTGGGTATCTGGGGTTTTTTTCCTTTAATATCATGGTGCAATTATTAAATCCCATTTCACAGGATCTCCCACTTTCTTTCCAGCTGTAACATGAAGTAACAAAAATAACAACAGGTGTCATGTCAGCTGTTGCAGATAGCTGGACAGCATATCACTGATCCCAGCCCATGCAATTTAGTGTGTCAACACTCCAAAGCAACATGTTACAAAGCAGTACCTGAACTCTCAGAGTTTTTGTATCAGACAGGATTGGAAATTCAACATCAATTACTCCATTTTCTGGAACTGTGTAGTTCAGGACGTGAACTGTCAGATTTCTCTCCTCTGTTGCCTCATTTTCCATGTGAGAAAATGAAGAGTGATGGAAAAGCAGGTCTGACTGTTGTGCAGTGATTGTTACAAGATTCTGCCTCTCTTCAGCTGTCAGCTGGTTGCTATCAGAACGAGACACCTTTAGCTAAACAAAAATAAAGAAAACACTCATCAAACCCATCAAACAGGGTAAAGCTAAAATATGCACAACACATAGCATGTAACAATATATTTGCACTCACATCATATCAAAAAAAATAAATGCATACTCAGATTTCTCAGACATCAATAGCTTTATTTCTGTTCTCTCGTAAGCACTGCAAGTAGGAAAGTCAGGCAAGAACAAAATTATTCATAACTCCAGGGAATCAAAAAAAGAGTAACAGCAAAGTAGATGGAACTGAAAGGAGACGTGCTGCATTTCAGCTCTCCCAATTACTCTTCTAGTTGTAAATGTTTATGTCTCAGCTAAACTATACATATCCTACCTACAGTCTGAATACTTAATTTTTTCACTTGCATTTCACCATCACAAGAAAGGGCAACCCAACATTTACATCATGTGGGCAAGTAAGTCAGATGAGCAGAGATGGCTCTGAGTCAGATGTGTTTATAAATTCATCAAATGAGTTGAAGACTGAAACCAGGCCCAAAATTGACAGTGTGCAACTTCTTCACTCCATCATACGTCAATCAGCACTACAACTTACAACATTTATGCCCACATTCAAGCAGATTTTCATCCACTAAAATCATTCTTATTCTGCATTATACACCACCAAAAAAATCAGCTTTTATATTGAAAAGCACAGAACTAATGTTTCCCTTTCTTTGTCCATAGATGTCACTGCATTACCTCTCCTCCTCAGCCATTATTTTCCTGTTCCCTCTCTGAAGAGCATATACTCTTCATGTAAGATCTCCACCTTTTAGTAACAGTAGCAGCTATTCATTCACACTTCTTTGGGACCATAACTGGACTATAACCTTCCTGTCTGCCAGCTTTAAGAATTGACAGATGCCTCAGCTATCTCTCACTCAGTTCATCTTGGAAGATGAGAAAAAAACAGGTGGATTCAAACTGGGATGCAGGCAAAGAAAATGAAAAGCACAAAAAGCAAAAGCCCGAATGATCAGCCTAGCATAAAGCTATATCTTGAGCCAATCTCCTCTGGAAGAGTATATTCAGCCTAAATCACTGCTACTTAGGTCTCATTTCTATACAGTAAAGGCTCAAAAATTGATTCCCCTTTTCAAGCAAAATGCAGTGATACAATATGCCACCACTGAAAAATGTAGAAATACTGTTGAGGGAAATGGAGTTGAGAGACAGAAGGAAGAACATGAAATATGTCTAAGAGTAGACTGTAGCTGGCATGAATAGACAGGACAGAAAAAAGGCAGAAACAACACTTACTTGAAAGAAATGTGGTTTGATGAGTTTTAACTGAATTATGTAAAAGCTGCTTAAATATACAAATTCACTGTATAAAGTATATATTTGTCTATGTATATATATGTATTTTTATACAGTTAGATATGCAAATCCTATAAAGAGGTTTGAAACTTAATAACTAATAACTAATAATAACTAATCTGTTGTTTCAAAGCACAGCCAAAAAAACTAGCTAGTAAAGATTTCTCTTCCATAAGAATGATGACAAACTATACACAAATATATCCTGCCAAGACTACAACATTCCCACTTTACTCTTTTCTAGAAAAAATACCTCCAAGTTTAGTATTTGCTGATATGTATTATGAAAAAAAAAAGAGGGAATGTGAAGATAAATCTGTAAATTACACATAAAAATCCAAGGCAAACTCACTTTGCTTTGGAAATATGATGGTACTTGAATTTTGGGAGACACCTGTTGAATAATTGTATGTGTTTAGACAATATTCATTTAACACATATAGTACTTTAGCAGCAATACAATTTATTGCCTGTGACTTTGAAATAATTCTGTCATATTTTTTACCACTTCCACTCTTATCATGCTCCATCCTTCTAGATGAGCATCAGTAATAAGGTAGTCTATATACTGGTACTGCCTGCCACAATGAAAAATAAGATATACCACACAGGCTCAACTCTCACAGACTATGTCAGAATGACACAAGGAAGGAACTTACTAAATCCCAAATCAGCCAGCTTCACCTTCCAGGGTTTCTACAGAAAGTCTGTAATTACACAATTAAACCTAATTTCTGGGACAGACATAAATTTTGTACACATGATTTTTTTTAATTTTTTTTTTCTAATGTGCAGTGGAACACAAACTCACAAAAAACTCTCAGTTTGCAAATCAGTCCATCTAGAAGAGGCTAGACTGTGGATAACCTAGGACCAGGCAACTCTTTCTACTAATGTGGCTTAAAATACACATCAGGTAAGTTTATGATTAAGTTAAGTTTGCAAAATTCAGGCTAATGCTAGCAGTTCTTTACGCCTGCTTTTCTTGTCAAAAATGATCAGTCACTGACTTTAAGCTCCTATAAGAATGTGTTTCTTGGTTATTTAAAAAATCATTTAGCATAGAAGTCTACTCAACCAAGTTAACAGCTGGTTAAACTACTAAATTTCAGATAATATATTTGGATGTGGATGGTTTGTGCTGACATCAGTACAAGACAATTTTCTAGAGCTCCAACCTCTTCCACAAAGCAGTAGGGCACTCTGGATTTCTGTCAGACCTCACACAACCACATACCTGTGAGTGACTCAGTCACCACCGCAATCATTTCTATCGGCTCTGTGTAATCGCTGCCACCGTGGTGCCACGATTGCTCAGCATTCAAGTTTTGCAGCATTAGCTTGTTACAGGTTACATTCACAGATCCATTTATCTGCAATGTAGGAAAAAGTAAGTGTTGAGCCAGAAAAGCCAAGGACACCTTTCTGTGTACAGTAGATTAGTTCTGGTTAAGTCCTCTAGCTCCCTCCATATACAAGTTTTGGAGGGTGAACACCAGAAAATTATGAATGCTGACCCCTTATTTTTTTGCTGTCATCAACCATTTTTATTAAATCCAGTAGAAGTTCACTACTTTTTTGGAGGCAACAAAGCTTTATGGAAAAAGTTACTTTTTTTTTCCTAATTTCTGGAATTATCCACTTCCACATGGCTACGGCAGTGGTACCTAAGCACTTTACAGGGAAATACAATGAACAAGTTCCTGCTGAGGAGAGGAGTATACCCTATTCAACATCTGAGCTCAGATTTTCTGTAGACTAAGTGCTGCTGAAGGCACTGAAGTGGCTGAAGTAAGCAAACAGAAAATTACAGTCACTTCATGAAGCAAAAATTTAACCTTTTTTAATACAGTCCACATCTCAGAAGTAAAATATCTGATTTTGCAAAGAGAATGCAATGAATCTATCACCTCTTTTATGCCTTCAGACTGAAACTGTGTGTCTTTTTAAATTTCATGCTTCAGGTTACAATTAGTGCAATAGCTCAAACGCAATTGCTGTCAATTAGTAGGCAAAATGTTTTGGTTTCTACCATGCTAGAGCTTCACCTAGACAACTGGAGTGTTCTCCTCTGGCCTTGTGACACAGAGCTCAGTGTGCAGGGCCAGACAGAGGGCCAGAGGGCACTCCTGAGCATGGGTCCTCCAGCATCTATGCAGCTCCTGGAAAGTTTTTCTGCCTGGGTCAGTTGGTACTCTCCAAAATAACTGCCAGGCACAAGTAAAGGGAACACAGGTGGCAAGTATCATTCCCAACAAGCAGACTGAATATAGATGCTTTAGGCTGGAAATTAAAGAGAGTTTAACACTCTCCAGCTAAACTCTGCATTCAGGAATGATTCCAAGTGCCATTTAACCCACAACAGGACACTAGTTAAAGAAACTGCTAAGAGATGACTCACCTCCATTGTTGTTGTTATATTTCTCTTGTTTGTCCAGTAAGAAACAGAAAGGCAAGTGATTGTTACAGTTCCCTTTACTGGCTTTCCGTATGTGTACCTGAAACACATCAGGCAAAGTCAAACACCATCCCCCAGGACTTGGGGTCCTGAAGACCTCCCAAGGCAAAAGATCCTACCCAAACATTATTCTCTGGCTTCAAACATGGATAGAATACATTTCTACTTTGAAACATGGAGGTTGCCATACTGACACCAGTTTATCAATATTAAACCTGGAACCCCAAAACCTGGAGAAGATACACAGTGCTGCTCTTTCCATTACACAAGCTCTACAAACCTATTAAAATTATTATGGGCTGTATGATGTACAAAAGTTAACTGTGCTAAGCTAAAAGCTGAAAGCAAGTTACTGAACAGAACACTGATGTAGTATCACAACTAATGTGCAGTAGAGGCAAAACAGGATGTGGGAAGTGTAAGTACCAAATACTGCTAACAAAAAATGAAATATCTCCAGATATTTGGTAATAATTATTACTACTTGTTTAATAATCATAGTGTCAAGAAAGAAATCATTGCAAACAATGTCCAGCTGTGGCAAATCTGAAAACTGTAACATACTCCCTTCTTAGATGACAGTATAACTTTGCAGTCACTGAGCAGAAATAAGATAAAAAAATTTGTGTAAATGTTTCCAAAATATATTTAAGAGAAGCCATGATGCATCAGATTGAGACAGAGAAGTGAATGTGGGGAGGAATGACATGAGGACAGACAGGACACTTAAAATCATTCTGGTCCTCAGCAGTAACACATGCAGGTGTGATAATTTTAAAGTACTTTAAATCATTATGCAGCCACTGAAGTTATATCAAAGCTGAAAAGCAGATGGAAAGAAAAATCAAGCAATGTAGATATGGGAATAACTCAACAGTCTTGTATTTGAACTCAGTCTTTCTAAGCAGACCTAAACACAGTAATAAGCTGCCATTAGCTTTGAAATGATACTGCCATTGGGCAGCATCCCCGTACTTAACTTGATCTAAAAACACCCCAGAGAAGAAAAAGAGTTTCACGACATCTACAAGTGTAAGTGGAATATAATCTCTTGGTATAAAGAGACATTATGTCTATAAAAACAGTCACCAGGAATGAAGTCATTCTCTATAAATAATTATGATGTATCAGTAAAACTTTGTCACTGCTGGGATTCAATCTCAGCTGGTTCACTGGTGTCTAAATACGAATTTATTACAGCAGACAGGTACACTTTCAAACACCTTATGAGTATACAAAATGAAACAGTCAAGTGTCCTGTGGAAGACTAAAACAACTTATGAAACCAAGTATTAGCTGGCACATAATGGATTCCAAACGCAAAGCAGAATGGGGGCGGGGGGGAAGCAAGAGCTTTATTTAAATTGCTCCTTATGATATTCACAGAATCATAGAATGGTTTGAGATGGGAGGATCTTAAAGGTCATGTACTTCTAATCCCCTTGCCAAATACAGGGATGACACCCACCAGATCAGGCTGCTCAGTGCCCCATCCAACCTAGCACTGATAGTTTATATCAGGGTGCATGGACTCTATGGAATAAAGTGTTTTCTCAAAGTCCAAACATTTAATTTAAGCAGCTTGCTAAACAATCATTTCTGCATTTCACTTAGAAATGGACTGCTTTTTCAGAAAGTATTCATTATAAGGCATTAAATAACCTACGAAAGACCCTTTACTTCAGTCGTCTTGGATGGATCCATCAGGACCTGACCCTCATCTTCAAAAATTAAATTAATTTATATTTGAGATTAATGCACAGCAAATTTTTGTTTAGATATTTAATACATATTATAAGCAAGAAACTTAAATTTTCAAATAAGGTAGCTGAAAATGTATAGCTATTGTCTAGAAGTAAGATTGCCAGACCTAAAGAATTTACTAGAAGTCTGAAGATCTACTGAACCTTGTTACAACAAAATCCAGTAACTAGAAATGGATACTAGCCAACTAATTTTGAATAGATGGGACTTTATTACCATTCTAAATATAAGTTTTCACTTTGACATTTAGATACCCACAGTAAGTTTCTTAAGAGTAAGGGTGACAACAGTATCAGTGATTTACTTACTTTGCAGAGACAACACCAGTTACATCTTCATCTCTCAAAGAGTAGTATAAGGGTGTTGTTATCATGACATCAAATTTTGGTAACACTAAAAACAAAATTACAAGAAGCATTAAATTCACTGAAAGAATATTTATTTTTTTAAGTAACAAGGGTAGAACATGTAATTTGATGAAGACTACTAGTTTCCTAGGTAAGATGTATTTTTAACCCAATCCCCAGACTACAGCTTTTTGTAGAAAGGAGAAGAAAGCATCATAAAAACAGCCTGCATATAAGCCTGTAAGTCTGAAATATAAAACATTAAGCTTATTTGGCCTTTACAGAATCAACAAGCTTCACAACCAGATACTATGCAGATATTTTGGGATCATTAAAACTACCAAAGATAAACAGGGAAGCTGATAAGATGGTATTTTTTGTCAGTATCAGAGAAGCCAAAAATTTGGAAATTAAACTTTCTGTGAGTATTTAAAATGCTTATGCCAGACAAGGGAAGCTAATATAAATTAATGGAGAATCACTACTGATTTTGGTCACTACTAAATGCCCTTAAACAATACTTACCATATTCCATCACTTGAAATCTTTGATAATGAACTTGACCCTATTGGAAAAAAATAATATGAGAAAAAACATACAATTGTGGTTAGATAGTAAGTTTAACATATCTTCTTGGCCAAATCCCACCCATATGCAAGTCAAACTACAATTTCTGACATGGTGTGATTTTAAATCATGGCTCAATCCCTATCAGCTCCTGGAGAGACCAGTAGTATGTATTTGCAAAACAGAAGGACACAGAAGTTCATGTGAAGCAGACTGTAAGTATCTACCATGCACAACTTGTACAGCTTCCAGTCTGCAGACATCTACATAGGCCTGGTTTCTGTACTAAAGAAATGGAATACCTGAGCTATGATTCTACATTTACTCAAAAGGTGGCTGCAGTTTTGTTACACTCTATAGCCATGCTTACTTGAGGAGAGATACCCTTGTGCTGTATATTCTCATCTCAGCTATTTGTTACTTAAAATCAAGGAAAGAAATTTCAAAAATTACATAATGTGCTGTTACTTGTGCTCTCTTCTATTTTCCCACTTTTCTAAATTTTTCACTTATTTCCTGATTTTCTTCAGGAGGGAAAAGCAGAATGAATATGGATAACCAATTGTCGGGTGGCATCAAGATGTATCAGATAGGAATGACTGTTTGTAGCAAGAGAGGATAAACTGAGAACTATTATGGTAAAAACCCTAGGACCAGGACCTAAACTGGAAACAATTATAAATTTTTGTTACTGATCAGCAACTTTGCAAGTTAAGCATCTCAAACAAAGCCCTTTATATAATCTGTATTTACGCACTTCCTAGCAAAATACTCCTATCAAAATAAAAATCAGATTGCTGCTAATTTAATGACTAAGTCACTGATAAACAAAATAACTGCCATATTTATATTCCTAGGTTTTAAAATATACATGCAGAATCAGCTATTTCCACATTTGTGCAAATCACATTATTTGCAACATAAAATGCTACAGTACTGACATGCATAAATCAGTCCACAATCAGATTACTATCATGTAGTCTTAGGAACATTATCTTAGGGAAATGACCTGTAGTAAATTCATCTCACATCTTGTTCCCTGTACAGCTTTTATTTCCAATACTAAGTATATATGTGACCCTTGCCATAAAGCAAACCCCAAACAAAACGTTTTTAACAAAAGGTTAAAAAGCATCTCCCTTGAAAATAAAATATTGTTTCCCATTATCTTAAAAGTAAAAATTAAAAAAAAAATTAAAGTACAATTAAAAACTAAGATAGCTGTAAGTAGTAGAAAACAGTGAGACTAGTACTCCTGTCTTCATCCTCTCTAAAATGTGTTTTGTGACAGAAATCAAGCTGTGCTTCATAGTTGAGGGAAAGGCAAAGGCCCTACTTGGTCATCTTGATGACATGAATACCAAGTCAGATTTTCCACTAACATTTTTTAGACAAGCTGGTCTGAAGTAGGACAAGTAACAGCACTTCAACCACTCTATCATTTTAGTTCATCAGGGCAAGGCTGTCTCTGGCAAATATTGTTCAAATATACTGAAGTGGAAGTTGTTAAACCAGTTTCTAGGAATAGTGGCTTTTGAGACAAGCAGTTAGTCAGTTAGTTATATATGCATAACCCAAGAGAGATTTTTAGGGGTTTTCTTTAAGACAGGAAAACAACACCATGCCAATTCCATTTTTTCCAGAGCTGCTATATTCTAGTATAGGTTTTGTCTTCCATGCCTTTTCCTGCTTCTTAAGTGCACTCACTCTTCCGGATGAACAACATTTTGCTCTAAATCAGCATTTCTTAAACTGCAGAACACCTATTGCATTCTGTGCCAATCACCCAGGGTAAAAAAAACAGTGCCAAAAAGGGATCCATATAAGTGTTCTGGGATGATGAGGCTGAGCCCTTCTGCAGGGCAGCCTTATATGCTGTATATCCTGATATCCAAAAATCCCTAACAACTACAGGGATAGGGATCTGCTCTGCTGTAGTGAACTGTTTTAACTCATTGGGTCTGATCCAACAAAAGTGAGGTCACAGGAGCTGCTCCCCACAAATTTTTTTTTCTCCTTCAGGGACTTCAGAAAGTCCCTGAAATTAATCTGGTCTGGGTCCATTTTCTTATTTGCTTCTGACACTGAAACGCATCGCTGTTAGAGCAAGGGAAAGACTCTGGGTGTGGTCCAGGGCTTTGCCCTGGAAAAGCGCAGTGCTGGCAGCGGCTGCATTCCTGGGGCTACCTCATTGTCTCACACGCCCTGTCAGGAGCACTCTTCCGCCTTGGCTTTGCAGCTAAATAAAACAGATTTTTGTCTAGACAGAACAGAGCACTTCATGATCACATCCATGCTTTGCTTTCACAAACTCCAAAATGAAATTCTCTTCAGATTCAATAGCACAGTCTCCAGAAACTAATCAGACTCCCACCAGTGTCACCACTATTTACACAAGCAGATCCTGATTGAAGATCTGTGCACATTTGCAAACTACTGAATACTCAGGCAATACCAAAGGCTTTATGTATGGTCTGATTCTGAAGTGTGACACATTTTTAAAGCAATTATATATACAACATTAAACTTACCACATCAAATGTGAAATCCATAACTGATCTAGCAGTAAAACATGACAGAATTCACTGTGGATACACTGCAACATATATTAAACCTCAAAAGCTAAAAAAATTCAACTTGTATATAATCATTCCCAGTTGATTCTGGAAGCTTGTTTTATAGCTGAAGCTTTCAAAAATAATGTAATACTCTTAATATTTTGGAAAGCCCTTGTTGCACCTGAAACATTACTACTCTTCAATATTTGATCATAAATTTATACATAACAACTTCCATAAATTAGATTACAAAATGCAGTTTAACTAGAAAAAACTTCTGGTTGGAGGTGCATGCTACTAAAACGCAGCAACTACAAGTCTTTCAGCAACAGGAAATATAAGATATCCAACTAAAATACAAGGTAGAGACTTGGAAACCAGACTGTAATTACTCTGTCTTGATTTTCCTGGAACAGCTGTACTAACACCTGAACTTTTATTAAAAATACTACAGGATGTTTAACAGCAGCAAGCAGCCAAAGACTGATTTAAAACAGGATTCAGAGGCAGCATTTCCAAAAATCAAGACTCAATACACTCGGAAACTGATCTTAATCATAAGAAGGGAAATGTTATTTAATCATTTACAATTCTTTAAAGACAAGAGAGAAACTGAGAAAGAAAGGCTGGCTATTTAACAAGAAGGTCCAGGTCATGGAATCAGGATAGGTAAGTCATGCACAGATCAGTCTGGTTTGCCATATGAAGATGTTCCTAAAGCCTCAACAGATCCATACGCTGTGCTGGATGCCATGCAGAGCCAGAGCTGGCAGTACTAGTTAAGGATAGGAAGACATATCTATTAAAAATCCCAGTCATATACTAAGTCTTCCTTAGCAGTAAATCTAAGTTCTCAGTGACCTCTGCTATCAGGAAGAGTGGCGAGTCTATGCAACTTTATATATAACACAATAAAACTTACACCTCCCTTGAACAGCAGAGCTACTGCAGAAGAGAGAGGATGATCCAGCTAATAGCTAGGAATATCCACTAGGAGAGATCACTCACTAGCTTCCACTGAACACCAAATAAATCTCAGCTATATCACCAACACAGAGCCTCCTACACACCTCAATGTCAAAACTGAATCCCATCCCATACCATCTTGTGTTTCACAGCATAAATTCCCTTGCAACCAAGAGAATAAATTAGAGTTTCCCATTAGAAAAGTTCTTTTCCTTTATTCTGCAAGGTGTCTTGAGCTGACACCTAAGGTCTTTTTAACTATTACTTCTCATGGGAGTGTACTGTGAATTTGTCTTTTTGATCCCATCTAAATTTTCGGTATTCACAATAGCTGCTAGTGCTGTGCTCTGCAGTTCAGTTATGATGTTTTAGTCATTTTGAAATCACTCTTTCTTTACCTCCTTTACCTGATGCCCTTTAGCTATATGTTGAAATAGACACGAACAAAAAGTTCTCTATTTACTTTCTCCTCGTTACTCATGACTTGAGAGACATTCTCACTCTGACATATATTTTCCAAGATCATTAACCTTCTGTAGCTTGGCTAAAATTTAGAATACCATCAACTATACTCTATTAAGGTTTCACTTCACTTGTCTCACAGCAGTTTCATTAGGCCAGATGAATTTACAAGACATTTTGCTTTCAACTTTACAATTTTTTTTTTCTTTTTGGTTTCACTTCAGAAGGGAGTGGCATTCATTCAGATCCTGAAAACAGCTGCCACAATTCCTTCATCAATTATCTCCTAATTTCAGCATTACTCAAGCCTGTGCAGAAAGCCCAAACTTGTCATGTGAGCTGTTGAAGGAGCCCACCACTGCCACCAGCCTTTGTTTCCATGTCTGAGCCACACTTCCCCAAGTGCTGAACAACACCTACAATAGCTGTGATTGGGGATGGCTTGTCAGCTGGATCAGTGAACTGCTCTGGTCAAGGCAAAGAAAAACATTCAGGTGCTTTTCAGTTTGGGTCATTCCCCACTGCACTTTAGATCTCAGCCTCACTACAGCTGCTTCAGTGTGACTGAGAGGCTACTGAATAGCAGGCAGGGGATGGGAAGGAGCGGCAGAGCACAGGGAGGAGCACAGGAACAACTTAATACATTTTTCCCATCACAGACAACAGCAACAACTCCACACCCACATGACAAAGTGTTTGAAAAATCCACCGACACTCACTTGAGCACCACCCTCACCTAAGCCTATAGAAATCTATCAAACATCTGTTACTCCCAAGTAACACATGATCACGTGAGTTTTTCTCCTTTCTACCCACCATTTCCCTCACTAGGTAACATTAAGCAGTCCTGTTTATACTTGCTAAAAGTCTCTGAACAGCCACTGCAAGCGAAATAGGAAATGCAGTTCCCAAATTATAGGTATTTAAAAGCAGACTGAATAACCCTGACACACAGAGTTTTGAGCAACTGAACCTCCAGCTATTTTTGAAACATGTTCCATGGTGCATGAGGAGGGTGACAGCTTCAAGGATTGGCCTGAGAGAACTACTACCAATAGCAACATGCAACACAGACTCTTCCAGTTTTGTTTTGCAATAGTTCAGTATTACTAGTCATCCTTTCTATTTTACAAAGTTATTTTTTCCTCAGTAACTCATCAGTCATTGTAAGCTGCTGAAACACACCTAAAGCCAGGCAAAAATCTGTAAATAATCTTGGTTCCTCAACCCTTGAGACACTGACTGGCTGCACAGCATGGTACAACAAATTTCTGTGTATTTGCTTGCAAAATAAACGTAAGGGCATTTCACTGAAGAAGAAAAACACTCTACTCTGTGAGATCTTTCTTTTATATTAATATTACAACTCCTCACTTTTTTAATACCGTTTTTATTGTGGAATTATAACACAGAATAATAGGATAAAGTATGTATGTGGGGTTTTGTCCTTCCCTACAAAACCATACACTTGAAAATCTTGTGAGGTTTGCATATTACCTTTGCATAGTACTTGATCTTGTATTTTTGCGCAATATTTGACATGAGAGAAGGATTTGCTCATCTCATGATCCATGTTTGTAACTGGTTTCAACAACATAAACACAATTTTATACATATCTAGCAGAAGAAATAAATCTCTCTGTGATTTGGCAGCGTTAATACTCACATTCAGTTCCACCTCTATGGACCAGTCTCCTAGTGGAGGGCTCATTGATAACTGAAATTTTTTGGAAACTACACCCAAATCACCCTCCTCCATCAACCACTGCTGAATCAACTTCTTCCGAGGATCCTAGGAGAAAAGTCAAGCTGCATGTTAAATGTGAGTGGCCTTGCTAGCAAGATTTAGGTAGCTATACATACAATCTTTTTTGGCACAAATTTGGACCACATGACACTTTCTAACGCCTAACTACGTTCTTGTGGATACTTACTCGGATATAGATATTCAGAGACACTCTGTAAGGTTTAAGATCAGGATAGACAGTGACAATCCGGAAGAGCACATCTTGTCCTGGTTTATACATGGCTTTATCAGTCTGGATGAATACAGAGGTGCTCTTTGACACGTACATCAGGCTGGTACGGTTAGAGAAGATGAGCTGGCCACCAGCACGGCCCTCCACCAGTAATTCATAATTCCCAGAAGCACTGTTCAGAGGCAGCTTAAAAAGAAATAGTGACTCTCTGTTAGGTACCCAAAATATTCTTGAAGACACTATTATTTCAAAAACATTTGACATAAAGAACTAATATATACCTGAACTTGTCAACTTACATAAATTCTCAAAAAGAGAAAGGGGATTTTATTCATGGCTTTAATGTGTTATTTCAACAATTACCAGAAAATATCTTATCAGAAGCATTTTTTCAACACATTTCCATCTAATTTTAAGTAGTAATCAGGTTTTCAACAATATAAGTATCTACACATTAATATACCATTCACAGTCTTACACATACATAGGTTGTGCTCTCTCTTTTCAATTATTTAGACATTTCTCTGGTTTGACATAATGGGCTAATATTTTTCTTCATCACTTTTTGCTAATAAATTTTCCAAAAATTAAACATCTGAAGAAGCTATGTGAAAGCAAGATGAGCCGGACAGTAAGAGAACTTTGCACTTGTTTTTTTACAGTCTTTAGCTTTATGTCCTACAGGGTAGAAAAATCAAACACAGAATTTATTTTTCATGAGGTGGTGAGACACTGCTTTTCAATAGGAACCTCAATGACTTCGCTCATTTCACTTTCATAATTCATAATTACAGCACATACTGACTCATTTAGAAAGTAAAATAATTATCCTTCCAAAAATATTAAGAAACAGAGGAACAGAAATTTTATATGGTTAACTTATTTTGGATAGACATTGAAGGCCCCTTTAGTGCTGGCAGAAGAGACAAGATAGCACTGGGAAGGAAATTTAGACCACATAAGATCAGAGTAATCATGCACAGGTTTCTTCTCTCTCTCTCGCTGTGTCTTTCCAGTGCACAGAGGAAATCTACAGATCATAATTCAGATGCATCACTTCATTTCCTAAAGTTAGCTGGGAGGAATCCCAGTCACAGGGGCTGAAAGACTTAAAGCAGAGATGCTGCAGCACTCCTGAATTTTACTTGAGCAGAGCCTTCACAGTCAACCACTCTCCACAGGGACATCCCAGCCCAGATGCTGGCTTCTGTACCACCAGAATGTCTCTTTGAAAAGGAAAAGGGTTTTAATACTGCACACAGCTCATTCCAACAAGCAGCCCTGTTGAAAAGCTTAAGAGTCACATGCTTCTGCTTGGAGTTAAAACTGTAAATCTGGAGTAAAACCTCTGAAGTTAAGACAACTAAAGCAGACAGGCTTGCATTTTTCAGCATAACATATGGAACTGAAGCATTCCTCTTGCACTGTAATGAAAATTACAGCTGTTAATTCACCAGGCACAGCACTTCAAAAGTATCCTACCAAGTGCTATAAAGAAAGGCTGTACTGCTGTCACAGCTCATTTTAACAGTGCAGAGTGAGGTAACAGGGATTCACAAACATGGGGAAATGTCACTGGGTGACAAATGTGGTAGATGCAAATGTCTGTATAGAATACCTTTCCTTCTCTGTGTGTTTACCTATAAAGAGGAACCAACTACAATTCCATCCTTCCATCCCTCTCTGTTGACTTTCTGTTTTAAAAAACAAGCCAGGAAAAAAAAATCGAGGGGGAAAAATAAAAAGGCTCTTTTTCACCCATAAACAGGCTTATGATGACATGGGAAGAAGAGGTCCCCCCTTTAAAATCTGGATTTATAGAATTAAATTTTAGATGCAAAGTTCCACACTGAAACAGATTTTGCATTTTCTTCAGCTAAAGGTTTTTGTACACACATTGCCAAGAACATATGATTCACATATTTCAACACCCTCCAAATTCCACGCCAAGTATTCTGCAATATCTGAAATAAGAGGGACAGCCTTAGCTACTGCATCTGTCAAATACTACCTTATTATTACCTCAAATATCCATTCATGAATATTTCTATTTCTTAAAGGAGTTGTAATCCCTAAAAAGCTGATGGGATTTGCTACATGAAGTCCAGGACACATTCAAAATCAAAATGGGGTAAGTCCAGGACACAATAATTCAAAATCAAAGTGAGGGAAAACAATCTTGATTTGTTTCATCATTGTAGTGAACCGCACTGTTACAGCACTATTTTAACATGCCTGCAATGTTAATTTCTTCAGTTTCTTCTTTAAAAATGTAAATGTTCTGTAAATGCCATTTAGAGACCTCATCTATTTTCCTGTATCCCTTTCCTACCACAAATTATGTTGGATAGCGTTGAGCTCCTCCCTAGATTTTAATACTTGTTATATTTCAAAAGATCTTCCCTTCCCAAAACATGGTGACAAAACTGCCTTTCTTGATGTAAAAGGTCAGAGGTAATGAGGTTTGCATTGCCATGGCAGCGTATTAGGACAGCTGAGGTGCAATGTAACCCACCTTCTGTTTCACACACCTATGCTACCAGAAACTACACTAATACAACATTTTCCACAATTGCTACAGAAACAGTGACTACCTCAGCCCCACCAGCTCCTTCTCTAAAGGGCTGTTTCTCAACCCAAATATGATCAAGGCAGCTTTTAACATTAAGTAGTAGGAACTTGCTATGAAAATATTTTATCTTAGTCAAAACATCCCAAATGAATGGAATTACTATCCCCATTTTGGCAGTCCTAACACAAGAGAGAAAAAGGCCATCTCATGTACTTCTGACTACACCAACCACCATCACGAGTACCTTGGACAAAGCAGCCACTGTTTCCTCTGGAAAAGATGAGGCTGAATCCAGAAACTCATTACCTACCTTCTGCTACCAGCAAATTAGACTTTGGACAAAACCTAAGTGTGGCTACACAGATGAATAGAAAATCTTGCAGTTAAAAAATTAATCAGTCTGCATCACTTCAGATAGCAGTGAGAGAAGGAGGAAAGTGCCCTGCCTAGTTTTAGGTGCTTGAACATTTTAAGGCTATTTTAATAGCCAGATTATATTAAGGAACTTGTTAATTTTATTTTTTTTTAAATGAACAGAATTTTCTATGTTTACTAATGTATAATTCATACAGATGCATTTCAACCTAGTAATATTCATAATGTTGAGCTGCTCATTGTCATTGATTATCCATCTATCAAATACTTCCAGATTATTTAATCAGAGACAGTTTATTTGAGATCAGAACTTAAAACACACTGGATTAAGGGATACCCAGACTTATGGATGACTTTGGTAACACTTTTTTCCTTATATAAATACATAATTCTTTAAATTGAGTTTTCAAGATGAATAGCCAGGATCATAAATTCAGGATTCATACACAACACACAATTCAAGATACACTGTAGGGTTTTTTAATGTACTTTCACTGAATATGCCTTTTCAAACTCTTAAAAAGACCATATATAAATGTATTTTTATTTTAGTATTTCTCAATTGTTGCTTTGCACAATTTTTTTTTAGCTGTTATTAGCCTTCATGGTGTATCTAAAATACAAATGTAGGTATCACCCAGTAAAAAAAGACACAAATCAAATTTCTGTGTTCAAGTTTTATAATGGTTTGTGTTGATGCTGAAAATCAACTCCCAAGTCCCATAATTACTTCTAACAAGCTGCAGAGCATTTGATCTGAAAAATCCTTGATTCACTGGTCACTAAAATCACTCATCCAAGACTGTGAAAACAACTGGGATCACATGCAAAATATATCATCAACACCAATGGGTGGTAAGTTAGAGGGAGTCAACATTTTCTGAGGAAGGAGGGAAAGAAAAAAAATACTTACTACTGGAAGAACAAGAGTCCCAAAGGTATCTGAACAAAAAAGAAGAGATATCACACTGTCAGAAATCTGTGAGATTAAGTACCATAAACATCAACATTAACTTAGAAGAGCAGTGCTCCTCCCCCTTACACGGTTGATGGAAGATGTGAGATACCTTTTGAAGTGCTGCAAAAGTATGAATGCAAACCTACAGCAACATTACTTCTCTTTTTGGTGGGGACTGTTTTCCATGTTCTCTGCTTGAACATTTCTTGTTACATTCAGAGAGACTGAAACATGTTTATGATACATTCAACCCCCTATGCCACCCAAGTTCTTATTTTCCATTGATTCTGCAGCCCGGATAAAAACTAAAATTTTTGCACCCTGCACAGGATTTATCACTCTTAAGCAAAGGAGCACCCAGAATTAACCTCACAGAATTATGTCACCACGGGAAAAAGTAACTAACATATCAATATATCTGGGTTAATATAACTTATTATGTGGTCTCAAATATTTTTAGAAACCAAATGAATGTCCTGTTAAACTCCTGGAAATCATTACATCATGAGGCCATTAGCATCACAGCTCTTATCTTAATTACATCATGAATTATAGAATAGAACAGAATAGAACAGAACATTCCAGTTGGAAGGGACCTGATCACTTCAGGGCTCACCAAAAGTTAAAGCATGTTATTAACGGCATTGTCCAAAATCCTCTTAACCACTGGCAGGTTTCAGACATCAATCACAGCTCTAGGAAACCTGTTCCAATGGTGGACAACCATCTCAATAAAGAAATGCTTCCTAATGTCCAATCTGAAGTTCCCCTTCTGCAGCTCTCAAGCACTTCCACACCTCCTACCACCAGATACCAGGCAGAAGAGACCACACCTCTGTCTCCATTTCCCCTCCTCAGAAAGCTGCAGATAGGAATGGGAGTGCCCTCAGCCAGACTAGAGAAACCAAAAACTTTTAGCTGCTCCTCATAGGACATGCCTTGGAGCCCTGTCACCAGTTTTGTTGCCCTCCTCCAGAGGCACTGAAGGACAATCTAAAACTGCAGGGCCCAGAAGTGCACAGAGTCCTCACGGTGAGGCAGCAGCAAAGCTGAATGCAGTGGGATAATCACCTCTCTTGACTGGCAGGTGATGCTGTGCTTGATGTGCCCCTCAAGTATGTGGTTCCCCATTTTGGCTGCTAAAGCACACTGTTGACATGTATTTGCTTCTGCTGATTCTACTCACTTAGACCTTTTTGTATCTCCTAAAAAGCCACGGCTTTACACCTATCTTTTACTCAACTGTTTTACAGAATAAAGAAAAAAATAAATCTATTTGTTTATTTATTAATGTCCTTCTTGATCCTGGACCTAAAGGCATTCCAAGATGAAGCAATCACTTGACCTCTCAACTTCAATAAATGTTAATTTTAGAAGTCAATGAATTCTTTCCATTGACAATGGCAAACAGAAGGAATCTCAATGAACTGAATACAGGTTGTCCTGAGTGCTGCCAGAGCACTAAAGGAAAAATGCTATCCAGTATGTACCATCTACTCAAATTATAAACTAGGTTAAACCAAATGACTCACATCCCACAAATGAAGTCTGTGGGTAGCACACTCCAGTACTTCATTCTGGTATTCAAAACTTTAACAGGCATGGGCAATACTGGGTCCAAGGAACACAGTTCTTTCCACAATGCGTTTATGTTGCTGTTAAAGCTACATTTTTTTTCATATCATCCCTCTCTCCACTTGAGAATCATCTCATGCAGTCATTAACTCTGAGCAACCCCACTGGCCTTGGAGGTTTTCCAGACAGGCGTGTCTTTCAAAATACTTTTCTCAGCAGCCAGTGGAGAGGACAAACTGCCCCAATTCACAGTGGCAGGGAGTCCCCACACTTGGCCAAGGATGCTTGGCATTACAGAAGAGGCATTGCAAAGTCCTTCAGAGTACCTGATCCATAGGCAATGTAAACACCTCTACATGCACTGATATGTTTATTCCCAACACCTTCCCAGGCAACCCCATGCTCAAACAAATATACTAAGAGACGTAATTCTAGCCAAAGGAAACTTTAAAAAGAAGACATTTTGAGAACAAGTGGCATGCAAAAAAACAGAAATCTTATGGCAGGGTTTCTTTCCTGTTCCCAAGCCTGGGAAATCTAACATCAGGTGTGAGCTAGGTAAAAATGTAATGCAAATGGGGAAAGACTTGGGGAGGAGGGAGATTTATATCACAGTTGCATTTGTGCAACTCAGAAAGGATTTACCTTCTGAAATGGTACTATCCCTGGCTGCTGTGATAAAGCCCAGAGTGATGTCTAATTTCCAGCCAGTGAGAATCATAAAGGAGGCTCCAGGGCATGAGGTAATCTTCCAATTTATGCCACTATGTAATTATTTTGCTAGGAATCAAGCAGCCTGGGAAGATCTGAAAGTCTTTAGCACTGCAGTAGATTCCCCTGTCATGCAAGATTTTCCCATCTTCTCAGAGACTATCAAGCTGCAGTCAGTTCCCTGGAGCTCTGCTCAACTATGCCTAGGATGACTTTGGACGTGCTCATGCAAGAGCTATAGGCAAAAACATTTCCTTTACGCCAATGCTGAATAGCGGAAATTCACCAATTTTTCTGTTCAGTTGATGAATTAAAGTTATATTTAATCATACAGCAATTTCAGGTTTGTAAGGAATTAACCACGGTCCAACAGCTAGCACACGTCACTGCTCTGCTGCAAGCCCTCCTATCATGCAGCTGACTTTTACCCACATGCAGCGTGTTAACACTTCCACATGAGATCAATCAAGTCTGGCATCTACTGTCCCCAAAAATTACAACAGTCTTCTTCAACACATCCTTGCAAAGAATACCTTCAGTTATGAAATACAGGTAACTAACTCTGGGCAGAAGAAATAGGTTTAGAAAGGAGCCCAGAACAGCTAAGCCACCTACATCACGCACTTCAAAACACAAAAAACTTCCTCCTGACTCATTCCATCTGCTCTCTGCAGCAGCAGACACCAGCACAACTGGAGTGGGACATAGAAGGGACCAACCAGGCAAGAACACAGGTCCCTGCTACCATAAGTGATTAGCTAGGGAATACTTCCAGCTGGGAATCATGACTTTGCTTTAGGGGGAGACATGAAAAATTCAGTGGACTGTTCCAGACTAATCTTGAAGAAAGTTAAAAAACAAATTACTAAAAATCCCAACAGAAGTCACATGAGCCTTCAAGAAAGAAATCTCTCTCCTTGTCATTTGCAAAACTTTCTTTCACAGAATTTCTTTCACAGAATTCCTGAGGCTTGTACTGTATTCATTAAATAACTACTTCACTGAGAAAATACAAGGAAATGCAGTGGAAACAAATGCCACACTGTCCTCTCCCTTTTTCCTCAGAATCCTTGGCATTTAGGATTGTCCAGCAGAAGAGGAATCAAAGACAATGTAGGAGTGACATGTCAGCAGTATATTATTTTTCTACTCTGCCTTTTTTTGTCAGTCTAATAGTACTATTATCAATAAAGCAAATATAAAAAATTCTACTTAAACACATGCAGTTTTTTTTAGACTTAGGGAGAACTGCACAAACAATGGCATCTTAAATTCTTCCCACTACATGGGCCTGACCCAGACCCAGAAACTGATGCTACCCCTTCTTGAGATGACATCACTAGGACTAGTCATAAATGTTTTAGCTTCCACCCCAAAAAAAAAGGACAGAGGTTCTAGAAAAATTACTGTATGGCTTGGCACAGTGAACTAGAGCTTGTATCAATATATATCAGTAAAGCAGTACTTCAATCTCTCATTTATCTAAAATTAGCACTGACTGTATATTCTAGTTCATTTGGCAGGTATTGCTATAGATTTTCTCACTTAAACCTTTCTACCTGTGTCCTCAATCCCTCTCAGTAATGTGTGAGAACAGAAAAAATAGAACTGGAATCACTTCAGAGGATTTACTGAAATTATGCTACATCTTTGCTCTGGCACCTGTGTTCATATATCCACGCTTAGGAAATGCTTACAGAAAAACATTTTCTTTGCAGTGGCAAATGGAGTCATTTTCTACTGCTGAATCAATTTCAAAAACTCACATCATATAAATAAAAATTAGTGTTCTTCAGTGTCCTTAACAGATTTTTATTCCTGTCCAAAATACATACTATTTCTGTGTAAAAAATAATATAATATAATATCATATCATATCATATCATATCATATCATATCATATCATATTAATATAATATACAGTAATACCAAGGCCCAAGCTGTTCAGGAAGTGAAAAACAGTTATTCTTCAAAGACCTGCAAATCTGTTGATAGCTTGCTTTAAATATGTTATACTCCTCATCTATGATGCTAAAGCTATCACCCAAATTAGCACTGATTATTTACACAACTAGCCCAAAATACAGAGCTTAAGCCACGGCTGTTATGGCTTAGTTTGGCCAGGACGACAGAAGGAGGGGCAACGCAGCACTGAAACACACAACTGGGATTGCCAGGAGACGTCAGCAGTCAGGCTGACATCCAAAGCCAAATGAGGCCAACAGGCCTGTAGCAAAGGGGTATAACTTGCTCCAAAAAGCCTCCTAAACCCTGCCTGCCAGCACTACGTACACTTCCCTCACAGCTGCTTCCTAACCTCCCTATTCCTCCACCCCTTATCCTTTTCAGTTGTTTTTGCAAACCTGGAGGATAAAAGCACTCAGAAATTATAAAGGGGGAGAGAGGCAAGGTAGCAGTGCTGCCTATGAAGATGTAGGAGGAATAATCTAAACTGGACCAAAGTTTATCACCTAAAAGTCTGGTCAAGAGACAGGGCAACACAGCCCTGGAGGACAGAAGAAAGGCACAATGCACAGACACTTTTGTGATTAAAGCTCTGTTTTACCAAATTCTGCAGTTGCTAGAAAGTTCTAGTTTCAGACTGCAATGGGAAGTGTAGGAATATTTTCCTGACAACTAGGAAAAAAACCTTCTCCACCTAAATACAAAAGTTTTTCCCTAATTCCATGACCAGAAG